ATTTCTAAATGAGATTAAGCATATATTCAATCAGACACAATCAATCACTAAAATGAAACATATATAAATAAACCATGTTTTTAACACAAATTATGTGTTATGAGTTATAATTTATGTTATGCAGATTACATAGTTTAAGTCTCAAATGAGTGTTGTACTCTTAGATCATGAAGTTGTAAAATTTATATCCAGCGATTCACTTGAGATATTTGTCAAAATTTTTATATAGTGTATGCTAAATTAGTTCAAAGAATCATAATCAAATTGATTAAAGTAATATAATATTTTGCATTATTTTCAGTTTATTTTTCTTAATTTAATTTTTGCAAAATAGTCACATTTTGCTATTTAAAAATTGAATTGAAACTTTAAAAACAATGAGATATACAATTTTGTAAAATATTATGATATTAACTCACTCAAAAGATGATATTGATATAATTTTAATCATTAATGCTTTCACACGTTAAAGTTTTAATGTTTCACTATATTTGGACTTTTGAAACAATGTATTATGCATTGCAATTATTGATCAACAAAAAGACTTGATAGATAAAGAAATTTTTCAAAATTCAAAAAAATGATAAATTATCACAAAATTGCAAAATAATGTATCTCTTTATTGATGAAATAAAAAAAGTACAAAAAATTTTGATAAGAATAAAGCTGAAAATGTAAATTATTTTCAAAATAATTATACATATGCTAAATATGTTGCTATTTACTTGTTATTCTACAATATTTATTTTAAAAAATTCACAGCTTGATTTAAAAACAAACTTGCAAATTTAGTGCAATCATTCTCATTTTATTAGTCAAAATAACTCTATTACAAGGAGTTATATTATAAGCATGAGCAAGATGGAGTAAATACAGAGTCTTAGCCAAGTACAACATCTTGAAAAGATGAATAATATTGTGAGCACAAGAAATTTTTGAAACTAGTTGAGGCTAGTTTAGAGAAATTTACTCAAGACTCGACAGGCTAACAATTTTCTTAATGGCAAAAGCAATGATATAGATCAAAAAAATCCTCAGATTATTAAAGACTTGCAAAAATTTGAAAAAATTATTCAAATATATGATATTGATTGCGTCAATAACATGAATAAAACATGGCTTTTATTTTTTACTTTGCTCCGTTGTTCTTGTGTACTTTGAGGATTTTTCTATTGCTGATGATAACAAAAATTCTAAGGTGAGAGAAACTCTTGTTGTTTGTTGCAATGCAATCACTAGCAAATCTAAAGATATTACATGCAATTCTAGACGTCAATAACCACTCCTGTATTTGAATCAAAAGATGTCATAGTTAGACATATTGTGTTTGATCTATGATTTGAACATATCTTTTGAACTTTTGTGCATCGTCAAGTTCATTGAAATTCTGTTAATTCTTCACAAAGACTTTAAACATTTTCAATCATTTGAAAAACTAAACTGAAGATGACATGTGTATTACCAAATGTGACTTTTTGAACCAGCCGATGGACATAACATTTATTGCTAGGTGGCTGCTGAGAGATGTCTTTGCTTATAACAATTTCACTCATAAGATCAAAAACTGTTTAAACTCAAACGTTTGGATTAAAACGTGAAATAGCTCATGTAGAATTTGAACAATTTTCTTGAAATTTCATTCAAATTTTTCTTGAGAAAAAAAATCACTGCTGAAAAAGATGAAACCAGTTTTGAATATTATCAGTGAGCAGTTATTGAAGATATTAGACACCAATTTCATGATAAAGATACACAATTAAAAACCACAAGTGATAAAATAATTTTAAAAATATATAACGTTGCACATAAGTAAAGATTATGTAAAAAATTAATTCCAAAATTTTCTTCAAATTATTGATCTAAATGAAAGAATCCAAGATCGATCAAGATTAAAGTTTTCACCTAGTGACAAAATTAGATTTTTTTATAATGTCATGTTCACAACAAATGCTTTAACTAGCAATCAAATTTGATGATTTTTGAGAGATTTAACATCCAAGAGCTGCCAAATGACGATTTATAATTTAGACTTTATGTAATTTGATAAACATGTATATGTTTATCCATTATTTTGATCATTTTGAATAAATTATAACCACAATGTGGATTTACAAAAACACAGACTTAAATAAATGATAATTAAACTTGTAGGTAGTTTTGATATTATATAAGACTAAAATTGATATTTTCACATAATTATTTTTACAATTTAAATGAAATTATTCTCTTGAAAAAATCTATGACGTCTGAAGAAAAATCAAAATAATACAAATTGCAAATGTCTACAATCTTTGTATGAATTTTAATCATATTTTACACATTTGAAAAAAAAATTTGATCATTTCATGATGTCAAAAAGATTCAAGCAAAGAATGTAAGATCCTTATATATGCATAAAAAATTTGAATAATGAAGCTTTTAGCTTTATTACTCTGGTTATGCATGTGGATCATGTGTTTTAAATATTTATTAAAATTCCAAATTTAGATTAAATCGTCTTGATACAGCAAGTATGTTTGATGTACTAAGTTGTCTATCATATAGAAGTGAAAACAATCACTATTTTGATTATTCACACTAGGTTCAAAATTATTTCTGCTATAGACAAGACAAATAGATTTATGTTTAATGCAAAAAGTATAAATTTAGAAATTATACTATACATTTCTGCATACGTAATAAAATATTTTGATATTAAAATGTATTTTATCAAATTATTACATGGTTACATAGATTATATTTATTAAAAAAACATATAAGTGTAAATTAATTATTGGACATGAATTTACACTTAAATATTTTACAAATTAAAACATTTACATCGCATAATTGCGCTTAATCTATTTCAAAATATGAATCTGTAGCAAAAAAATTATAAACGTAGGAAACATTTTGATTGGATGGATATGTCAAAAAATAACATTGATTCAATACTAGGTTTCACTATAAAAGTTTGAGTTATTGAAAAATAGCTTTGAATCAAGTGATAAAAAATGACTTTAGCATCTTAAAAATACAGTAAAATTTTCTCAAATAACATTTTAACCACAAATTTTCAAGATAAACAATAAAATGCTTTTTGTGAATGCTTTATCAAAGTGGTCTTTTAAATTTTTTTGAAAATAACGTGCCTTATTACAAATTTTGCATAGAGATATATATATTGAATTGATCAATAATTTTGTCATAAATATGATTTTCTATAATCGGTTTTTGGCTGACTAAATTTAATATAGCTCTAACTAGAAAATGAACAAATGTTGAATGTTTTCATCTAAGTTTTCTGCAGTGTCGTTATAAAGGTAATGAAGATTTTAGTATTTAAGACCTCTATTATTAAGGAGTATTAAAAGAGAATATTATTGAAATTTAGCTGATTTTTGAATTCTTAATTAGTTTGACTCTGGTTAACTAGACTTTGGCTAGTTGCTATAGGAGAGATTTTATGGAAAGTGTATGTCACACAAATGAGATTTTTGAGTAATATACTTTGTGTTTTGTATTAGTGACCTCATTGAAATGAATCAAGCAATTGTTGCCTTAAGTCTATACGCAATGCTTATCATTGTGTACATGAGTTTGGATAACATATAATTATGCTGTATAAAATCCAGCTAAAAATAAAGATTCAAAAAGATAATATTTTGAAAAAAACTATGCCAAAACAGAGTATAATATATGACTTATTGATCTTTTGCAACAGTTTCTACAAACAACCTTATTATGCAATATTACTTTCAAGAAGTACTTGTATAGTCTTTAAATCACTTTATTTGCAATTTTTTCTTCCATTATAGTACGCAATAATCATGTATGAAATTATTATTTTTTGAAAAGCACATGGTAGTAAAAGAGGATGAAAACCCTTTTCAACAAAATCATCATTTTAATAGCAGTTAGTGTTTTGCAATATTTTTAGAAGGTGATTTTTGTATACAGAGGCAGCATACATTATTTAGGTTCCAAACTCATCACATATGTAAACTAATCAGGGTACTGTATGTAGATGTGGTAGATCGAAGAGCATGCTGTACATCATACAAAAGTCTGCAAAGAACATTTCCTGTAATTAGCGAATATATTGAAATCTCAAGGCGAATGATTGGTTAGCAGCTCCACGCTGTCAACTGCTCTTGAAACTAATCGAAGATCTGAGGTGCGTGGAAGCTAGCTATTTAAAGAGATCCACGGAGATCTGAAATCCGCTGAAAGCTCCCCACTGTAAGTACCGTACCCGAGGAAGAGATCGCGTGAAATGCGATTGAACAAATTTAAATAAGGACTGGACTTAATAAGGCTTTTCAATATAAAGATACGCTAATTGTCAAAAGCAATGAAATTGATATAAATTTCATCTATTTCACCTACAAATATTGACATCGATCTGGCAGTATTTTTTCATTGGACCGTAGAGAGCGTACCCATTGTTGGATAGAGTATGTGTTCTCCAAGCAAAGTAGTATGTCCCACCATACAAGTCTACCGGCCTATCCTTAGACGCCCTAAAAATTATAATCGTAGGATGAAGATAAAGTAGGCAGGAAGAAAGTCCCATTTGTACCTATCATCATGTTCAAAGGCAAGGATGCACACGGAATTGAGTTAGAAATGGAGTACGATCTGGGGCTTATGAAATTAAAGGACGGTGTAGAGTATATGAGGAAGATCTCACGTCTGAATGTGGCTAAAATGGGAGGCGCATGGATGGAATTTAAACGCGCGATGAGATTACAACCAGTCAGTTACAAAGCAAAAGCAGACATCTAACCATGCCCAAAAGAAAGGTAGAGAGGTAGTCTCTTTACGAAAATAGCCACATACAATACATAATTTCATGGCTGGATTCAGTGCTCCGTGACACGTCAGCACTGGCTGCGTGGGAGACTGGAACTTGATGGGATTGGATCATGGGAAAGAGGACGAGTTTGAATTTAACCGCGCTACTTCCCGGGTTTATATTTGCAGATACATCTGTTCAAATTTAAAGAATTGTCTGACACTGCATGTCAAATTTGTCAAGCAGGAATTCTGGCTTCTCCATTGTTGTCCTAATCATCTCTTCCTCACGTAAGTCACTTAATGGGCGGTCATGGGATTCTGAGTTCTTTCAACATCCAATAGACAGGCAGCGAGTGTGAGCTCGGCCCTCGCTGTTTCCAGGTTGTGACAGGCCAAGCTCTGATGTCATGTTCCAAGCGTTGATGTCACAGCTTACGACATTCGTCAAATTATTTTGATATGAAATTTTCGCTGCTGAGCTCGTGGAATCATAGCGTCAGCTGAGAGTCCACAACGATTTACGTTCAAGTTAACTTAACATGCGATTTTCATAACATCTACTTGAGTTTTGATGCACAACAGTGTGTGGAACAGAACACGCTACAAAATTTATGTCTTTGTGAGTTGCAGGCCTCATATATCTCAATCTTATTCTAAAACTATACTTGAGGACTGCCTCTTTAGCTATAAAATATCCACATTTCAAAATGTGTAGTATAAAAGGTTCGAAGGATATGGTGGCATCTCCGACTCCAAACTACGCGGCCTTGAAGGACTATGATATCGGAAGTGGTTCTTCTTCCAAGACAAGCTTTCAAGAAATCTGCCGTTTCCTTGATAATGTTAGTTGGTTAATCTCATTCTTTTCTTCGCAATATATGGTACACAAATAGATTATGTCCAATCCGATTTGGAACTGAAGGTGCTCTACTGCACTGAGAATTACAGTGGTTGCCAGAGTCTACAACACAAACCTGTTACGCGTCTGATTGTTAGCCATATTGCAAGGTTGAAGATACTGTTGATTTGTTTAGTCAATTTTGTGTATTAATTTTAGTATACCATTCTGCATTACCACGGCTTTGGTTTCACATAATTTAACAGAGAATGATGCTTCGGTAATAACAGCAATGATATTTCCTTGATCATAATAGAAGTCAAAATTTGTTACTAAACTTTCGGTAGTGGTTCGCTAAGACATCACAAACTTGTGTTGTTTTGACAGTCTGATCGGGAGCAGCAGTTTGATTATAAGATGTTAATAAAAGCTTTCAAGTATTTGCAGAAATGTTCTCTTACCTCATCAGTAGGCCATCTACTTGATGCTGGAGTGGTTCAGATGGCATCAAGGACGTATGACAAACTTGTTCAGCTGGATTACAGCAAACGAGAAGTATTGTCCTCCATCTTAGAACTTTTATACCTCATTGAGGACTTGAGTGAATCTGTCGAAGGTATAGTAATTTTTACCTATAACGTTGACATTTCTATATGTGAAGTATTCCTTCGATGTATTATGCCGGTAAAATCAGGTTTACTATCACTAATTGCTCTGTCATGCACAAACCCCAAACACAACCAACGAAAAAATCAAATGTTTCTGCTTGTGATAATATGGTTCCTTCTAGCACTTCCATGAGAAAAGTTTTGTCCTGAAGGTAGACAACACTTTGATGGAACTATTCAATTTGCAATGGGCAAGCTGAGATCTGAGCTTGAAATCAACAAAACTGAAACTTTCATTTGTCACAGGTAAAGCACTGTGTGGAAAGTACTTTGTGGACCGTCTTTTGGCACTTACCACAACCAGAGTTCTAGCAGTGACTTTGCACCGAGCAGCTGTAGAAACACTCTGTGGCATCATTACTAAATCTGCACCAAACCAACAGAGAGTCATTGATGATCGTGTTTCATGGTTCGATCACTAGTCCCTTTTCCCCAAGAGAAAAACTGAGTGAGTTGTGTTGTTTGCATAATATTGTTGTAGTTTTTTCTGGGTCTGCAGTCTTCAGTCTTACGAATGCCAGGGTAGTCATTCTAACTATTTGATGGTGAAGGAAAGTAGGCCATTAAACTCAGCCGAAAATGTAATGTGCTGTGTTGTTCTCTGTGGCAGCCTCAAACTGTTCAAGCATTGCCTCCCAAACTGTGGCGATTTCCAACTGCAGGCTAGTTTGACAGAAGTTTTCTATCGACTTCTTAAACAGGAACGAAACTTACTTGATCTCATAGGAGAGAAAAGTGTACGAGATGCCATGGAAATCCTCTTACAAAAGCAGAAGCCAGATCTCCTGAGTGAAATCAAGGAGATAGTTTTCCTGCTAAATGAGTCTATGGGACCAAATAGAAGGTGATTACATGGTACTACTTTTAATATAAACGTGACTTATTTCCAATCGACAATATCTAAGAACTAAGTATCAGAAGTCATGATAATGTCAAATACAAGCATTTGTGATGATGGCTGACATATGCTTGAGATGTATGTTACAGCGTATACAGCTTCCTTGCCGACAAAATCCTCCTAAACGGCGAGAACGTGGCTCCTTCTGAACAAAAGTTGATCAATTTTGGAAAGGGTCACCTCAGCTTCTATCAGACAGTAAAGTTCGATCCCTCTTGAAAACATTGCTTTCCTGCAAATGTTAGGCTGCAGAAAATTTTCTAAACAGTTTATATTAGCTGCTTTGTGTCACACTAATGAAACAAATTGTGCGCTAGCTGTGTCAGGATTCAAATTCAGATGGACCCACAATTTTGGACGTGGAGTATGGGGATATTCTGGAAATCAAAAGTAACATCAAGATTTATGGCCATTGTGCCTATCACGAGACATCACTTGAAATTAGGAACAAATATATCTTTGGACTGAAGTTTGCATATGTAACATTTTTTGATGTATTGAATCCACTCGTAGATATCAATGGGAGGAACATTCGTTCGTTCTTTTTTTTCAATGAACCTACAGTGTTCGTCCGCTCGCGGACACGCGGTCTTGAAACATAAGTATTGTAAACTTGATTTGGTGATTGTTATTTAATAGTTTTATATGTCTAAAATGTGCAGTGGGTTCAAAGTCAATCTTGGAGATGGTGGTTCAGGATGATGCAAACGTATTCTCTGCAAAGGTTGGCTAAATTGTATTGGTGAAGTTTTTAAAGGTTCTATTATAATCTCTAGAGATCCATCAATATTCACATCTTACAAAGATTTTTCATTCTTGCTGTGTCGAAAAAAGTCATCGAAGGCCATGAACGTGAACCAACTGAAACAAGTTCGCCTGCAAATTTCCATGAACCTTCAAAGTGAGTCAAAACAACCGCGCTTTAAACATGAGAGAATCGTTGGATGACCTTTTGAGTTCTAAATTTCATTTTCAGACACTGGATATACTTCATCTCCTTTTTATCCGTCTGAAAAACCGCTACAATGTAATTCACAACTGCATGTCTAACATGCTTATTGTCTTATTTTTATATCAGATTTTTCCTTTCTTGAGAGGCACGTTCTACCAAGTCTACGAGCACGAACCCTACATGCAAGAATGGTATCTCCACCTTCGCTTGTTATTTTAGATTTTCTTTCATAATAATGAGGCTTTTATTTCGTCAGTTAGTTATCCTTTCCAATGGAAGTTGCTCATTCTAGGAAAATCCTTGAGAACTATTGATGATATATGATGTGTGAATAGCTTACAGTCGGCAGTTTGTACAGGCGAACTCTCATATTAATACAGGCGTGCGTAAGTCGTCTATGGGTATACTAATTCCTCTGCCCAAGGAGCATCATTCCACTTTCCAACCTAGGAAAGAATTGGAGCCTACTCTTCCAGCCTCCCGTGCCGGAGTGCTTCTGAAAAACTACGTACCTGCATGTGCCAACTCTAAACTTGCTGACGAGATAAGATATGAGGTGAATGGAGCGACCGATACACGTGACGATGGTCTTGCCAAAAATAAAGGAAGCTTCAGTGAGGAGCCAATGATTGTGAAAGCAACTCCTCAAGGAAACTGTCCTTCACATCCTTCGATCTTGTCAAAAAAAAATCCTCCTGCCATTCATTCCCGAATCCAAGATACAGAGTTGGGGAGTAAGGTCGCTGCTGGAAACGATGAAACCGAAGAAGATGATGTACATGTTCAAACACGAGTTTCATCAGCGCGGAACGCAAGGTGTGTAAATGATACTGTGACCCCAAGATGTGGTCAAATATCCGGTTTTGAATGTAGGTCCGAGGATGGTCATTATCAGGCGCGTTGTGATTTGAAGCATGACCTTACGAAGTTCCAAACTAACAGCACCGCAAACTCTATCAGATCTGGCTTCAAAACTGTAGAGAAAGATCATATGCAAGTGTCTTGGAATGCAAACAAGGAATGCACGGTCGAAGCACTTGAGACAGGTCCTCAAAGGATGGTGATTGGTGACAAATTAAAAAATCAATCCGCTGCCGTCGAAATTGGTGGTAAAGTGACTCTGTCAAAAGGCTTCATTGTAGCCAACGGTGCCCAGAGTAAGGGTTACAAATCCAAGCCTTCGCCTACCCAGTCACAGGAGGTAAAAGAAATTGGAGGATTCCCGTTGCAGGTCAACCAGTCCGCAATACCTCCTAGCATAATATCTGATCTATGTCTTTCCGAGAAAGAGCAATCGGTGGAAGGAGTAAAAGAAACCAGAGAGTGTTCAAATGGGAAGATTACGGAGACAGCTGAAGAGCTTGTGTTCCAAAATGGCCCATCCGACAGAAAAGTCAGAGAATCTAATTTAAAACGATCTCGGGATGACGTCCCCACATGTCCTGAAGGAAGATTGAATCCTTTTGCAAGGAGAACTTGCTCAAAGGCTACTTTCCAGTGTTCAATCTCCAAGTCTGAATCTGGTCATTCACTTGACAGTGGTGAAGAATGGGCACCTGATGAAGGTATATCACATACTATTGAGACCGCGAATGACAAACGTAGGGTCGGGGTTGCCAAAGGTAGGCGCCAGTTGAAAGGAAAAGATCGATTACCTTGCACTGCAGGGAAAAAATGTTCATCTGAAAAGTCATCGAAGTCCAAGAGAAGAGTGCACACTACTTTGAAGAGTAATGGAGTTCAGAAGAGGCAGACAACGCACACTGACGTCTACTCTTTTACATCAGAGGAAGGCAAACAAACTCAATTAAAAACCTCATTTTTTCCAAGGCTTGAGAAAATTCAACTAGGTCAGCGTTCCAGTCGAAACGACAGAGCGAACCCGTCGTCCTTCACCCGCATTCAAGGGGCCTCTCGTCTTGTTTCTCGGGCTCTTGCAGGAATCACTCAGGTAATTCATTTCCGTTTGTAATCCATTGCTGTTTGTCTCATACACACCTCCCGCTTTCTGTGCACTGAAGATATAATCATCCAATGTTTTACACTCACGGCTGTTAATGTGCAACTTTGGTGTTTAGGGTCTCTTTTAGTGTATCGGCACGAATTGTTTATGAAGACGAAATTACTATGTGATTTAAAACGTTATTCACGTCTAATCTTGGCCAGAATCAGAAAGAATGGGTGCAAAAGGATGATAAAAGAGAAGGACAAATTGGTGACGAAGACAAACAGTTTTTCTCGAAACCTCTTCCTCCTCGTCAGGAAAATGAGGGATGCCCGATGACAGGTGCAAAAGTGTTTTAACATTGTCCAATGGTTTAATAATTGCTTGAGCCTATATTGATTTCAAGTCCTGGTTGTAGCTTGACTCAGTACCGGCACTCAACGTGCGCAGATACGGTCCAGAAAAGCTCCAGAATAGATCGCTGGAAAACATCAATGTACACGAAGCCTTCTTTACCAGTATCCAGCTCAAATCCTGTGGAAGCGAATAGTGTTTCATCAGCCACATCAGCACGCGAAATGGGTCGGACAACAGGTTAGACTCAGTTAGATCCAGACTACGTGGAAACGAAGAACCTGATACCCGTCATCAAACTGATTTTCTGACCCGTCACCCCTGCATTACGTGTGGTTTCGATTTCGCAGCATGAAACATTTCTATTGGTCTGAAGCTCAACTTGATTTTTACTGACTATTTGTAAGTTTTACTCACAGGCTCAGATACAAATTTGCCAGATACTCTTTCAGCCTTAAGCGATGATAAGTATGTCCTCGCCTGATGTCCCATTTGATTGAAATGCACCTCTCAAATTCAATGAGTCCTGTATGTCACAAGTAAGTTTCCTTTATAGCAAGCTCAATAAGTTCTTGAATGCGTATCTTAAGTCCTTGGTTACTTGGGCACAGGGGCCTTCAAGTAATCACCGCCTTGATTAAAGAGTTCAAAGGCAGGGTAAAATCAGAAGCGAAGCGCAAAATGACCGACATTGTGTCCGACACTTCTCAGCGTATCCAACACAACGTCGAAACAGCACAGCGGCAAATTCAGAAGGATGTGTAAGTGTGAAGCGCTTGGTGTAATATTATATCTAGTCAGTGGTATATTTTTCAGACCCGGTTCATCCTGCCGATGTTGATCAAAGACAAAGTACAGAGTGTGATGCTCATATTTTCTTTGTGTTGGTGATTTGCAAGCAGTGCTGAGTTTGTGGAAATTAGCAAAGATAAGTTTGGACAACTGAGCAGCAAGTTGGAAGGTATTTCCGAATCAAAAGAATCGTGCAGTTTAACCTCCTTTTACTCCAAAGGCCTGGCTTACGGGAATACCACTATGTCTTACTATTTGTGCTGCATATGCAAAGAGAAATTTCCCGGCACAGATAAATTACTCGAAGCTCGCATACGTGCAAGTTCTTTGTGCCGAATCACTAGAGCATTCAAACTTTGGGCACAATTATAAAATGATATCATATCTTTCCAGGACAAACAAAGAGAATGCGACTGGTCTACGAACAGTTCCAGAAAGATTTTTCTGAGCATATCCAGCAGTACGAGAAGATTGTTGAAGCAATTGACGAAACAGATCATGAACTTCTTGAAATTGCGAGAAAGCAAGGTGAGTTCCATTAGTACATGCAAATACGAAAGATCAATAAAGTACCTCTAGAACGCCATTTGCCGAAACTGACGAGACCTGCTTACTTGTCACCAGGACAAGGTCACAATACATTATTCGAACATCTGCAGGAATCAGCACTGCGTCATCTTGCAGAAGCAGACGAAAAAATTTTGTCGATTAACAAGGTGCATTTTACTGCTAAATGCATGTCCGAGAAGTTTGAGCTTTTCTGTAACTTTGGTACCAACTTGCATGATTGTTTTTTAGGACCGTCCTAAACTTCTCGATCTCAAGTCTTCCTCTAATAGCAGTGATAGGTTTCTGCCGTCAAGCCCTCCAGTCGGTGCGATTTACCTCTTCTGGCCAAGATGCTTCTTTCAGCGATAATTAATTGTAGTCAAAACTTTGGAAATGCTTATGCAGGCATCCAACTCAATGTTCGGCCTCAAACCTGCCGTTGAAAGATTGATGCGAATTGAGCAATAGAACATGCTTCGAGACTTAGCTTTCTAGAACCATACCGTCTAGGCACGGAAGTTCTGCTTTGGAAGTTAGCGCAGAGCTGAACTCGCTTATTGTTTCATATCTTTCTTATCGATGTCAGGTTTTTCTTACAGTAGGCAACTATTGGAGGACTAATATCTGCCTTCAGAGATAATCATGTAAGCATCGATCCCGCAAACAAGCAAGAGGCGCTTTCAAGATAGAATTAATTCCATCTGAGTGTCAATTCAGATGTGGATAATATGTGCGACGGGTTTGTACAATATGGACATTGTGCTTATCAGTGTTTCGCGTGTAGCTAACGTCAGCTCGTATTCGGTGTTCTACCTCTTGTAATAAAGTCTGTGCCATTTGCTGTGCCTATATTGGTTTCTCAACTGCAAGTGGTCGTCCGCACCTTGCCTTTTGCTCGTCTTAGCAGCCTGACGCCGACGATAAAGCACAGTTGGCTAATCACATTTGTCTTCTTGCAAGAGTAGTTTGTCTGTGTCTGCAAGGCAAATATAGGAGTATTATGTGCCTCCTGTTTTCACTAGTTTGATTCAGGAATCTAGGTGAAGGGAGACAGCTGTGTTGCTTATACCAAGATAGACATAGATAGTGCAAGTCGTGGACCAGTTAAGATACAACCATGAGACTGGAGGTGGAGAAGTTAAATTTTTACAGAACATGTCCATGCCCATGAGAGCTCTTCAAGAGTGTGTGAAGTAGCGATGAAGTGGGAACCATGAGGAGATACTTTGAGCTGTCATGGGAGAGGAAGATATATGACACAAGTCGTGCTTACCAAGTAAAGGTGAGCTCATCGCACTTTGCGAACAGCTTCTTCTCGTAAGTGATAGGTTGAAAGCTTTTGTAATGTACATGATAGAAGAACATCTGAAGGTCTTAAAGGAGGCCAGATTGGTTGCTGCCAAAGGGAGGGGCAGAATTAGGTGAAGTAAGTTGTGTCACGGCTGGATGCTATTTGGACTCTGTCGTCCTCGAAGACATTAAGGCCGGGTGCTAGCAGACGAGTATAACGGTCGAAGTAGAGAAGTTGTTTCAAAAGAAGCCCGAATTCTCGTGGAAATCGCAACCCATAGCTTTCACTAACCCGGATCTGTAAAACAAGAAAATTCTGTAGATAAGCCACAACTTAACAAACACTTCAAATGCAAACGGTAATATGGTTGATACGAGCAACAATATGATAATCTCAAACAAAAGATAAATACTTCAACCGATTTATAAACTGACAGTTGGCAATTTATCTTCAAACTAGTTCGGAGGCCTCCAGAAGATTGTAAACATATATTGTCGGAGATACTTTACCACTTCTAACAGTAGGGCATTAACTTGTTGCTCATCAAAGGCCATCGACGCAGCTACCGTTGCCGGCCCACCAGGTGATCCAGCTGCTGTTATAAGGACATCAGAGTCCAGATCCTGTAAACGGGGAACAATTCTAGGTTCAGCTTTCGTATGGCCACAAAAAGCTCCTCAAAACCAACTTAGTCGAGTACTCCAAGAAAGATGAAGCAAGATGAAGAGTATCACTACTGCGCTTTGCGCAGGGTCTTGAATTAGAAAATGTCGAATTCTACCTCCAAAAGAGTTGGTGAGTATTTACAGTCGAGTTGGTGAGTATTTATGCACACATCGGCATGACGGACGGACCAAGGAGTTTATTTCAAGGATGGAGTAGACAATTACCCCAACGGCAGTGAAGATTTTTTCTAAATCCTTTGCGAAACTGTCGATATCTATTATTTCAGCAGTCGCACCCATTGTCACTAGTGCCTTGGCCATTGCCGGGTACTGATTGCTGCCAATAGAGTTCAAAAACGTCTCCATGGCTACCCACGTTGCTGGGGAAATTCGGCCCACAATACCTGTGACGCACAAAAACTGTCATGAAGCTAGAGCCTTGACAACAACTGCATACTAGATCGATTAGTATGATCCAGTCAACCAGTGGGTGTGAATATATTTAATAGACGAGTAATGGAAACCTCTTATACACACCCACCAAAGTCAATGAAGCCGATACGGCCGTCTTTCAATACGAGTAAATTTCCTGCATGAACATCTGCGTGAAAAGTCTCACATGCAATTAAACTGCCGAACCTGCAAACATGAGAATTGTCCACCAGTTTAGTAAATGCCATAACTGACAGGCAAATGCTACGGCAATCTTAGTATCGACACAATTTCCAAAGAAAAGGTCTCACCAAACATTAAGTGCGTTGATTAGTGTAGCTTCCGGGTTCGGAACAATTGATCGTATGGAGTCCAAGTCCGATAATGGTGCTCCGAAGAAGCGCTCCATTGTAAGCACCCTCCGAGAACTGCAATGGCGATACACATAGGGAGCAGTGGCCAAACGAGTAGAACCAGTAGCCTCTAAGTAGTTTCTGAAGGCCTCAATATTCATGGCCTCCTTCCTAAAGTCTACTTCCTCCAACATGGACGCTCTAATATCACCCACTATCGCCACCTGCAAACGAAACATCACACTTCTGTTCAATTAAACTTTCAGAACATGAAAAATATAGTGCAAATCTTGCAGATCCATGGAACCGCGATAATCATCGCGAACCCAGTTTCCTCTTGAGCGCTGAAGGACATGACTGCATACTGAAACTTTGCAAAAGAAACAGAAATTCCGATATGACGGAAAGTCAGCGGCAGCAAATGACAATCATCTGTGTGACCATGTCTCTTAAAGCGGCTAGTCTGTTAGTGGTCTGGCATTTAACTTCAACTTCAAGACGTTTCGTAAAGGACTTTAAATCCTTTCAGGTAGAGCAGACTGCAGAAACACATTAGAATGTGTAAGCTGATAGTCGCTACTGACCATCAGCAGTGAATCCTGATTCAAATTGCTGAAATTGCTGGTGGAACTAGGTGACGTTTACAGGCAGCAATGTTCCATGTGATATGTTTACATATTCTTCTTCAACGTCGAACCATGAGCATGTGAGTTATGGCTTCTGTTAAAGGGAGGAAAATAAGTTGTTACATACCAAAGAGGTCCGACTTAATTGTGGGTTAAGGAACTCCAACACTTTCGCAGTGATGTAGATGAAGTTGAGATCTACTGTCAGAGTATCTTCAACATCTGGCTTCAAAACTTTTATGACCACATCTTTCTGGCTTTCCTTCAGCCTTGCCGCATGTACCTGCATAAGAAGGGATGAGCTGGAATCACCTCGAGTCTTGGAATCAAGGTGTAATAATGAAGACTGCAGGATGTTGCAGTAGACACAAGCTTTGTAAAATAACTTCACAAGACATGAAGATCACTTACTTGTGCAATTGAAGCTGATGCAAGAGGTTCTGGGTCGATATATTCGTACACATCCTCGAGCGATCGGCCAAGATCTTGTCGAATGATTGCTTTAATTTGATTGAAAGAAATTGGCGGAGTTTTATCAAGGCAGCTCTGAAACTCTTTTACGTACTCAGCAGGGAATAAAGTAGGTGCTGACGCAATGAACTGTATACACAAAACCCCCTTGTCAGGGTGAAGATCTGAAAAACACATCGTCTAGATTCGAGATCTCGAGTCACCACTATCTCCCGGTACATCAAAAAGTTGGAGATTCTGAGGAATGGGGCGGCTGACCTGGCCGAGCTTGATGTAGGTTGCACCAAGCTTCTCGAAAAGTTTCCGCAGTTGTTTCGGACCAGGTGGGTCTAATGCGAAAGGGGATCTTGCATTTACAGCTATTTGTGCACCCTGCAGCAGAATATGTACAAAATTACTACCTCTTTCAATTTACACATTTTCCAAAGGGATGGTTAATCTACCCTTTCTAAAGATTGTCAGCTCTTCCGATCCCTCCAAAGTCCTTCGTATCCTCACTATGCAGAAGGAATACAAACATACTACTGGCCCAAATCTTGAGCAAAAGAAAACTGCAGCTGATGCGACGTACTTGTGTTTGCTGCAAAAGCCATTCGGCACCGACAGTTGCCACTGCCTCCAGGCCTTGAGCGAGTCGAACGGCGCCTCTAGGGCCCGTGTTAGCTGCAGTTTTCGCCACCTCAACCAGAAGCTCGTTGAGCTTTGCAAGTCTTTCACCTACAAAGTCAAATCATACCTCAGTGTTTCACGGAGACAAAAATATTAGCACAAATATTGCGGCACATTGATGTTACCATAGAGAAGCAAAAACATACTTTGATCGGTTGCGGGGCCACTAGAAGTCTTAGTTGTAGTTGAAACTGCCCGGACAGCTAACGATTGGCTTGAGCACTGGCCCCTCTGAACAACCTCTCTATCCAGACGACCTCTGTAGGATGCGCTCGTCCATCCAGCACCTCTTATCCAACTTGAACACAATTCCTCCTGCTCACCAGTACGATAAGCATCAATTTGGCATACCCCAGAAGACGGCAAACCAACCAACTGAATCTAGAAACCAATTTGCTCTGGCAAAGTTCGCAACACCTCACAAGCAATTTCTTCCGGCCACGCTCAACTTATCTTCTTCAGGTAGAGAGTCAAGATCCTCAAAAAAGAGAACAAGCAGGTAGATTCAACACATAATTCAAGTGAATTATGTGTTGACAGACACGGCCAGCAAAATTTCAAATTCGTGCGAAAGTAAGCGATGCAAATCTAGCGGCTCACTACGGCAGGCCACTTGCCGAAGGAGTGCTTTTTCTTCCAGAGTTACCATCCAACGCTCATAGAACAGAAACATCTTCCAACGAGCCAACATGCTCTGATCTGTCAAATTGAGGCAGACAATTCTCGGAACACAAGGCGTCGATTTCGAAGCGGCAATTCGCGAGCGCAGAAAGTGAAATTGAAAGGCAAAGAGGGAAAAATCCTACCGGTACACGCAAAGCGGGGACGAGGCGAGAGGCTGCGGCGGAAGCGGAAGACATCATTGTCACTGACATGGTTTTTTCTCGCTTTCCCTCGCTACTATTTTGTTAAGATGTCGGATAATTGTGTCAATGTTCACTTCGATCACTGACTTAGGCTCGGCAATACTTTGTTCATCCTGACAAAAAACAGAATCAGAATGAAGGATTCTCGCTCTGGGCTACGCTCGAGAAACACTCTTTCCAGGACACCCAACGCAATCAACCACTCGATGACCACTTGTCCCTGTGTACAAAAAGGGCCCAAGAGAAATCACGAAACTCTGCACAGCGTCTCTGACGCTCCCCTTGCGCCACGCTTGCCCAATCTCTTGCAGGTAAAAGATCCTGTCTCTCTGAGCATTGTTTCAAACTTTGTCTTGGTGCACACTCCACTTCCTTTGCTGGACTGTTCTAGACACATTCCAGTCCTGTTTGCTCTCTCTCTCTCTCTCTCTCTTTGTGAATTCTCTACCTAGCTCGACCAGCCGGATCATCAACTCACAATATTACTCCCCATCCCATCAAAAATCACTAAAAATATATTTTTTAAGTACTTGGACACTCTTTCTGATTCGCAGCTTGTAACTTGAGCTTGTTTAGGCTTGTTTTCGGATGACAAAGTCAATAATTGTCGTACTTGAGAGTCGTGATCAGTCGGATACAATCATCCATTTCCCCTGAAACCACACACCGGATACCTGAAAGCAGGAACGCTTATAACTGGAATGTCCAGCAATGTACTTATACATGCGGAAAAGCATATACACTGGAATCATGGGGTTCAAGTCAAGTCTTTCTTGATTGTCTTCGTGAGCTTGTGGAATTGTGTAATGCATGCTAAAAATGTATATTTACTCGACGTTTGACTCCAATATATTTTATTGATACAATTTCTCCGACCCTCAATTCTTCAGGTAGACGTAGGGAGACGCGCATCACTTGTTAAATTTATTTGTTTTGGTTTGCTTCATTCTACTTCTTTTCAATCATAGATACTCGATGATGACTACAATCAAACCGAAGGAAGTAAGCTGGTTTTAAACAACATTCTTCAGCGTAGCACGTATAGTTTATGTTATGTGCAGGAAAAAATTTGGGTCAACTTCGCTCATAAAGACTGCACGATAAGTGGGAATAACTCAAACCTAAGTTACGAAGACACTGGACGCGGGAGTGACGGGACCGCCAGGGGAGATATATCTGGAAGTGCAAGGCAAGTCTCTAAATAAGGGGAAAAAAAATTAAAAAAAAAATAAGAGTAACTCCGGTAGAATATAAATCTTTTTCCAAGTGCAATTGATTACATTACATTCCGGCTAGTTAAACAATAAAAATTGATTTTCCTGGCAAGTCATGGATGGAAAGAGTAGTCACCAAGATAGAACTTGATACATTTATCGGTTCGAAGAACAAATGAAACAAACCCTCGAGCAAAAATCAATGATTCACGGAGACACATGACAATATGTCCACATGCACAAGCGGATAAAATTTCCGGACTAATCGTTGTCGATTGATAGAAACTTGGACAAGTGCAAACCCCAACTATGGGACAAAAAGAAATCTCCACGATAATACAACCGGAGTCCACTGAAGGCCAAAGTTTTCCCCTTCCAAAGGTACGCAGGAAAGCAAAGGCTAACCACTGTTGAGATGATTATCCATCTGATCGACTGCAATCCAAAACGAATTTCCATAGCATTTGGAACTAGGCAGGTCCCACCATATTTTTGATTTCACTCTAAATCAAATGAAGACTTTAAACATAGAACCCGGAATTGGGCATGTGGATCATTGTGCCACATAAGAGAGCAATCACGTGCTTATTCTTCACCTGTTTTATAACTCATGCGAACGAACTAGGACTTAAAAGTTCGAGTAGAAAACTTTCAGTGCCACTGTCTAGAAAACAGAGAATTGATCCAACATCGATCGACAATACAGTTCTTCAGAACCCAAATTAGGCTACACAAGCATGCGTGTTTCAAATTCAAACACGAGACCTGGTACTGTAATACTGTATCGTTCGGTACAAAAGAGAGATCCGATCTGATCATTCACTGACCGATGGTCAGTGACCATGGACATCATTGCTGATTAGTGTCAACTTGGCTTGGCGCAGAAAGGGTTTTGTAGATCGCGAATTTCATGCTCAGTACGATTTTGTCAAACTTCCTCCGTTCCTTTGATCGGGGCCCGGTCCCAACTCTAGATATGCTCTTCGCCACAGATCTCAAAACATGTCAGTGGATGCCATGCGTACACAATAAATTTACAAGGTCTTTGACTCTTGACTACTCGATCAGGCAATCACTGCTTTTGAAAGTCTCACGAAAGTCTCACGCAGAATTTGGCACGGAAGTCTCAGAAGCCGATCGACACTTTCGTGCTCAGTGAAAAGGACAGGTATGTAATGCTCCTAGACCAACTAGTCGGAAAACTTTTCATTTCAATGCCTATGGATGAAGAAGATTTGTCATCCTTAGAGTTAAATTTGCAAACGATCTCACCACAAATATCCAAAGTTGTGAAATTTTGGGGACAAATGTCATGAGTCTCATTGATGAATACCTTGCGATCATTAAAATGTGGTTTAAGATGTGTTCAATCTCAATTGCGAAAAAAATATACAACAAACATATAGTGAACCCAATTCTCAACCCAGAGTTTACTCATAACGTTGACTAAATCATCACTGAACAAGATAATATTGTGGATTCCGAATTGGATAAACCCAAACAAAACCTATAAATTACATTTGCAAGGCTATTTTGTGAGAGTTAAAAAAAATGTAGATAAAAAGAAAAACCCAAAATATTTTTATGTATTAGAAATCTTTTCTAATGAAGACAAAATTATCTGAAAACAGATAAAAGATGTCTTCAAGAGAAATCTTTGACATACAAAGTATTTAGGTATGTAAAAGGAAGAAAATTTATGATACATATGTTAGCAAACAGAATTATTCAAATATCACCTGAAATTATATCTATATTTGTATTAAAAAAATCACTTTTTTGTGAGTCGAAAATATCCAAGATAGTGATATCCAGACAATTAATTAGACAAACATGAATAGACTGTGTAATAATGTGATTAGAGATCTGCATTCACGGCGAAAGCTGGCAATTTCTTACAGAAGTGAAAAACCAGCCGTGTAGTGCACAAACACAGGGGTATATGTATTCAACACTTATAACCAATCTAGCCATAAATAGCTAGAATTTGAGAATAATCATTAACCAAGGTTAACTTCAACTTTTTCATAATTAAAAAATGAAGATTTACAAATATTTTGTGTCTTACATCTAGCATGTATATGCACACATTTACAATCTTAAAGATCCCATTTAGTGTATTATGTATAAAATATGTTAAATTTGAAGAAGTTTTTAAAATTTATAATTGAAAATCATTGAAAGTACGTTAAAAATCATCCTTGAAAATAATAAAAAATACGCTTAAATCTCAATATCTTGATTGTAAAGAGAAAAAATCAAATAGGAATAAAGATAGTTGGTTTTATTTAATATTAGGTGTTCTATTCATAAAAATAGAAAAATATTATTTTTAAAAATTAGTTTTTAGAAACTTATTTTTACATCAAATAAACGCTAAAATATTTATTCATTTAATAATAGAAAATTTTAAAATCTGATACAAATGGGAGAATTTTAACACAAACAGGATAAGGGATAATTTGATATGATAATAATCTAGTGGGTTAACATAAATTTTTGAATTATTGATAATTTATAGACTAATCTAAATATTCCTTTGAAAAAATAAAAGAATATATTTATTTATATTTATATTTGTTGAGATTACTAGTTCAATTGATGATTACTCTTGTTATTTGTTGTCCATATTCTATATAATCAGTACAACATTATTTGAATCTTGATATTTACTCTTGTAATTTGTAGGACAAATTATCATACAAATTATTGTAAATTAGAACATTGAACATATCTATGGTTTGTGATACCTATTAAATTTCAAAGATTATAACATACAATATTATTATAATTTAATTTGACATGAAAATTCATGAAGATTTGTTTTCAAATTGAGTAATCGATGTTTTACTTTGAAATGAATAATCTACTTGTCAAATTCAAGGTCAGAAAAACTGAGCTCTTGGCCAAAGAGATAAAGAGCTTGCCCGAAATGAGAAAATGCGAGGACAAGGTGAGTCCCTGCTGGAAGAGTCAGAGAAGGGTTTGATTTTAGGATGAATGATTCTCGATCTCTTGATCATGAAAAGCTTGTTATCATACATCTGCATATTCAGAGCTATGTGAGCAAGTTGAAACAGTGGGGAGCAATTTTTTTTGGCCGAAAGTGTACTTTGATGATTTTCATACAAGTTATCCAAGATGATGCAAAGGATGATAATTTTTAAAATAAATTTAAGAAAGTGCGCCATTTGTCAATTATATATTATTGAGTTTCCGAATACATTCTTTACTAACTTTTCATCTTGCAGTAATGTGGCAAGCCAGAATGGGAGAAAATGCATGATGCTCCTATACTGTACAAACTTCCAACTACAAAAGTCCAGGCTGTGTTATACGTACACGACGATGGACCGTCCTTATTCCACTTTTGGCTAGATCAACCCCGACCGTATGCCATCCGACGATGAAGAACTCACCCGTCGAGCGCACCTTCTAGAAGCCGTCGGATCCCATACGGTCGGGGTCTTATTCCCGTCGGCCTTCAATTGATTCATTGCGCCGTAGAGGAGATGCCAAAGGGTCTTTCCTTTTGCCAGAGTACTGCTAAAAGCTACCCAAAACGACGCCAGGCATCCAAGTCTGAATACGGTAGGCTAAACGTTGGCGAAACTACCGTAGGGCGGATGTACAGTAGCAGGCACGCCTCACCGTTACCACCGCTCGACTGCCAATCCAGTGCAATCCAAGCCAAGCCCCCACAGCCAGCCAGCCCTGACGTTCCTTTGGTCAAGTTCGGTCTCTCGGTGAGGCATGACTCCCCGCCGAAACTTGACTCCTCGACAAAGATAGCCACATTCCCTCGAACTTGAATGCACGTAAAGAAGAGAGTTGATGGAGATGGTACATGGTTCAACAGGGTTTGGCGAAAACTGCCGTTTTCATGTGCATCTATGATTGAGTTTAGAGCCAGTTTCTGTTTTACTGTAAGCAGTGATTAGTTCAACTTTGTCTGAACGAAGGTAAGTCAAGACGAAGTGGCTTCATTTCTTCCGCACTGCACGATATCGTATTGTGGAGAAGTGTTGTTTTCGATGAAGTCTGTTCGAGATCGGTAGTAATGCCGAGAATATTAAGGTGTGTTCAAAACATATTCTGCGCAGAATGTGCTGCTCCAAGGTGCTCTTATTCGTTTACAAAGTTCGAAACAAACGCGGCATTAGTGATCGTTGGACTTTGAACTTCCCCGAGAAGAAAGTGTGTGTTGTAAATGAAAATTGGACCGGTATGGTTACGTAACCAGCCGGAAGGAGGATATTCTCTTCTGTCTTAAGGTGCAGGGGATATAGTCCCTTCGACTGGGAATGAAGAACAGAACCACCTCGAAACCCTGTCATTGAATCAACAACAGCGGTTGCTGCGGCAGTAACTTAAGTCTGTATACCTGAAGCCGTGATGCCAAATGGGTCTTATAAGGCGCTCGTGTTTCTGTGAATGGCTCTCCAGAAGTTTATCATGATATGCTCTCATGAGAAGTTTTCGCTGTTGCGGAGACGCTGTGTTCCTACATTCCACTGCAAAGAACGGAGAGGTTCTATGATACGTGCTTCTTAGAGTTATTTCAACAGTCCATATCAATTCCATGAAGAAAAGCACGGTGAGCCTTCCGAAACATGGGGCATTTTAGTCTTGTCCCATATTCAGTTGATAGCACAATGCATTATTATCAAGTACTCACCATCAAGGCTTGGAATGCCCTTCTGATACGAAGAAGACACGTTAGAGTTGAGCTCAACCTCGACCACAGATTAGGAGGGTGAGGACATTAGGGTTACGATTGTAGTCCAAATTTTTTTCCGACACCACTACATGAAAAGTTTTTGGTGATGGAAATACTTCCGATAGAATTATCACTCCTAGTAAGCCATGAACTACTGCATCGACCTAATTGCACTTCCCAATCTCAGCAATACACACGAATCAATGATCACAGTCTGTCACGAACCATGACGCGGACTTATGGTAGAACTGAGCTACGTTATAGAAGTGACAAGTGCCTCCAGGTGGAGTTTGAAACCCGCCTCTCTTGATACTGCACTCTATTCTCTATTGGAAAGGCAGTTTTCATGAACTAGAAGAAGCACATCTCACAGGCAATCAATACACCCGCTTGTATCTTAGCTCGCAGGCACGGCCAACTCGTAGACCCTGAGATTGTGGACAAATTCAGCGTGTTCAAAGAATTGGAAAGAACCGACCGGCAGCCATGTTTCGACTGAAAGTTGTCTCGAGACTAGAATGCACCTTGAAGGAGCGAAATGAATGTATTATTTTCGTGCATGGGATACCGGATTAAAGGGCCACGCCACAGAGGCTGTCTAATGAACAGAATCGGATTATAAACAAGTAATGAATGCGTACTAATAGAATTATATTGAACAGTCTGAAGTTCTCTTGTTGGTGTGTCGAGGTGTTGGGAGGTGGCGATACCCCATTCTCAAATTATTGTCTTGTGCTCGTTTCACATAATTTCACAAATACTCTCGACGTAAGTACTTCAAGTTTTTGTGCACAACTGAGCAAGATCAACCTATAATCAAGAACAGCTTTGCATCTTACTTGCAGGAAATTCATGTGCAGGAGAATGGGTGCAAAGGATCCCCACGAGACAAAAGGCCCAATAAAGGTAAGAACGAGAAGAATGCTTGCTGATATACATGTAAGGTTTGAAATTTGTATCTTGACGTCCTAAAGGTTGTGTTGTTTTGGATACAGAAAACGAGAGAGATGACCGTCGAGTTCTTTTGGCAATTACTGTCGAAATCGAGGACGGATGTGTGGAACATATTGAAATGAAAGAGGGGGACTCTGCAGAGGCTGTTGCTAAAAAATTTTGTGGAGATCATCTTCTGCCTGAACAGTTTGTAGCCCCTCTGACGGAGCACATTGTGAGCAATATTGTTAGCCTCAGGTTCGTATCGAAATAACGGTACCGCATAGGCTCTTCAGTGAGGTCTCCATCTTTAAGAATTTTTCCTGCACGCATTAGCTTCTTGAGTTCAACTGTAGGTAAATCATAAACCTTATCTAGCTCTAGAGGTGATGTGAATAATATAGTGTGGTCAAGTTGATGATAGTGTTGTCTGCACATCTGAGTGAAAGATTCTTGTGGTTCCTTCACTGGTTGTAGTAAGGAGAATAAAGAACTCTCCTATCATGGTACTGAGGAACATGGAAGGAGTCTTTCCTACGAGAGTACTAGGTTATATCAATCAAAGCCCGGTACTTCGCCAAAGCATGAGTCTGGACTCGATCAAGAAAGCAAATCAGGTAGGTGGTGTTGCAAGCAGAGGACTGATGGGGACGTTCAAGCACGAGAGCGAAGTAAGAACACCTGCATTGTTTCTCAGTCGAAGAACAAGACAAAGATCAGACGAAGACTTTCTGAACGTCTGCTTGCTCCCACGCTCACCAGTCTAGCCAAGAGGCCTCAAGCTGTTGATAAGGACAAAAGCAAGGAGCTTGCGAGCATGATAAAAAGACCTCTCAATGCGAAAGCGGTGACATTTTTCACCTTCAACTTGGATGATTGTGATCCTATCCTAGCTGCACATTCTTATCTTCTAAGACTTCAGACTTTGCGTAGATAATTTCTTACTGAATGAAAACACCTAGCTCATTTCTGTCGAGCAACTTCTTTGTGTTGGAGTAAGAAACCTTCTGGCTCATATGCTGGATTAAACAGAACCTTCTTCGGTTGCATTTTTGAATGCTGTAGCGACTTGATTTTGTTATTTATTTGCTTGCAAGAGTTGAACAGGAGGCTGTGTACATGCGACTGTACGCTGAGTTTTTGAGGCAGAAGCAGCGGATTGAGCTTGAGAAAATTAGGAACATGGAGATTTATCAGGAGAAGATTGACAGAGATAGAGCTTATGTCTCCAAGGTGTGTATATATGCCACTATCAATACATTTGTGCAGATATCGAGAGCAAAATTAGTACTGCCTGGTATTCTTGGGGCAAATTATGCTTACATTTTAGCAAGGCAGTTTGTACGTGTCGTGAGCCTTTTCGTAAGCTTACGATATGTAAAACTTGCAGCTGCACACGTATGAGGTTTTCGAAAATTAGTTCCGGCAGTAGCAACTTCGAATTTTAAAAGCCTGACATTACAGGCTGAATTAGAAACACGAGTTTAACTTTCACCAAGTCAAACTCCTCAAGTTCAGGCAAAGTCTAATTTGGTCGTGAATTGTACACAAGCGAGAAGGCTGGGCACATCATAAATACACTTGTTATAGCACATAATATGTCTTACAGGCCTCACAACTGAGTACCATGGCGCGTACTACGGTAGTCACAAGGCCCCAATAAGCAAACAGAACGTAGTTCGATAATTGCAGAAATCTTGGAGAATTTGGCGAATGCGAGGGAGGACAGCCAAACAGTACGGAAATTATGGGGAGCTGCTCTACTCCGAAGGCCTCAGTAAGATGGAGCAGCTGAAGAAAATGATACAGAAGAAACAAGAAGAAGATGAAGCAAAGGAGTTGAAAGAGTTAACCCTTAAGCCTGAGATCAGGTACTTAAGATAGTTTTTGTAAGACATTTCATGGATAACAAACCAAAACAATGATATGCTTCATCAGTTTCTGACACGAGCTGTGATGGAATTATTTATATACATGCTAGGTCGTGAAGGGTGGGCACACTCCGACGTATTTTGTTTCGTCATCGGCTTCTGAATTATCATAGAAGGCTTTTCTTAAACTGAATAGTTGAAACTATGTGAGCAAATTAACAGCCGTAGGGTCTTATCGCGTGTTGTGGCCCGTCATAAATTTCGCGCACTTTGTATTAGCACCAACACTCGGGCCCTACTTTGGAGGACCCGTGGACGTTGACAGCTTCCAGTCTATTTGAGCACGCAATGGTCACCTTATGGGGTTTTCGAAGGTTTTCAGTATTTTAATTTTTGAGTCTTGACTACTACCTTGTGTTGACTAGAGCGGGGTGAAGTCAGCATATGTGAGCATAGCGTAGCACTCTTTTCTGGAAACTGATACTGAATGATCGATCAACCTTCATTAGATCGAACTTGATTACCACTCAACTCATGAAACTAATAAGCTTCTGTTGCAAGCCTATGTATGATTTTTGCGTTCTTCACAATTTGGTCGATTTAGTCCAATTTTTCATATTCACAACAGTTAGTATCACCCGATTGACCTTGTGGAATTCGTCGTTTACTTCATTTAAGTGTATTCTTATCAAGCTCAAAGCAACTTTCACTCTAATTTTATGTTACGAGGGACTGAATCCACAGTCAGGTAAACTATTCTGAAGGTTCAGTACTCTTAGAGTATGTGAAAGGATGTCTATATATCTACTGGGTAATTGAGATTAGATACCATCGTAGTTCTCATAGTTTATCTTCATTTTGTTTGGGTCTGTGATGACTTCGCTTCCTGGAGCCAAACCGTATTTTGTGACTGCCGTCTCATGCTTTAATAGAAATCTGTCTCGCTGTCTGTAAAAGTTCATACTCTCAGGTTTCCCAAAGTTGGGCTTTCAATCTTCAGCATACCTTAAAGCATTCTAGGCACGATGAGCACGGACTTCAACGTACCTGAAGCTTGACAGCAAGCTCTAGGGATCTCCCAATTGATGTCGACCAGAGTTTCTGTAAATAGCGGTTGCTAACTTGCAATTTTGTGACCAGATAGGATGGTTCTTTGCATTGGCTCACAAATAGATTGAATGTTTAATGTGAAGCAAGCGAGCAAAGCAGATCAGACGGGACCAGGGTCAAATTTGGCATAGACTACAATCGGCAGACAAGCCAAGACAAGACCAAATGCGGGAGTTGCGAAATGAGGTGAAGAATGGTGCAGTAATTGAAGTCCCAAGTCCTTCTGTACTGTCTTACTTCTTACTGTCGTAAATTCTATATGTTGCTATCTCGAACGAAAAGTTTTGAGTTCGACAAATTTCACCGGATCTGCATCACTAATTAGACAGCCTTCTCATTGTCCTGTCTAGATTTGGGAGGCCAAGCTCATGGAGTGCACATTCAAACCTCGTATAAATCATCGTCGATATTCTCAGAAGTTTTTAAATGATGGGAGCACTTCCCGCTTTGAGCAGCTATTTCTTGATGCAGAGAACCGACGGCGTCGTCAAGCAGAATATACGCAATGGTACCCTGAGGGGTTAGTCTTGTTTGAATTGGTTGAACCTTCAGTTGAAAACCGGAATTGGGCACGTAGAAATTAACGGCATGTACCGGTTGTTGCTTTCAACATTAGGCAATAACGTCGTTGTGACAATCAGGAAGAATATAAGGACTCGCTACAGATAGTTTGATTTCATTTGCAAAGTTGAACACTTTTTGGCTGACTTCTGTTACTAACTTATCCAGAGTCACATTTCAGCCCCATATCAACAGACAGAGGCAACATCATGGCCTAGACAGGGATGATGGCTATTATCAGGAGACAACAGTTTTTGATAGATTGTTACACTATGCATCAAAGCTGGTGGAGAAGAAGCAAATGTGGCAACAAATGGCTGCAAAACCTGTTGATCCAACAACGGGTCAGGAGTTATTTACACCTATGACCGGACGCAAACCCTTACAAAATGTACGATTCTGCTGGTTTCAGCGGACAAACTCTTCATGTTAAACTTTCCTGTTATCAGACTTGTTAGTAAGCTAGATCTTGCACTTGAGAACTTGGGATGCTTTCATTTGTAGAGATCAGTCTGCAGTTCAATATGCCTCCGGAATCTGTCTTCGGCTTATTTGGCTGTCCCCATGAAAGTTTCGGTTAACTAGCATACTAAGCCCTTTCTTTTGCCCGTGTACAATCTCATGCTATTAATCATAATGGAGATTGTTTGTAATTACCACTAAGCCCCCGCAAAGTGCCCGTTGTTTGTCAAGTATTAAATTGCTAATATATATGTACGATTGTCATACGGAAGCTCCCAAACGAAGTAGCCTTCCTCGAGGACTTGGTTGAATCTGAATATATTTCTGTAAACTCCTGTCGGTGAAAAATACTTGGGGAAATTGAAAGTTATAGGTACTGTGTCTAAACCACACGAATCGATGATTACGGATGTCCGTTAAGTCCAAGTGATGAATTTGTGGACAGAGAAAGTATACTATATCCACCATGAGCTGGAATACAAATATTGAATGAAGCAAAAACTGTTGTTTGATGTAAACGTCGTAGTTCTAATTTAACAGCTTTCGAGTTAATATTCTTCATTCTGTTTCTCTTTTTGAAAAGTACAGAGAAATACAAGTGAGCTGCCGATTGGAGAATTCTTGTACCAGCTTAAGGACACGATGGATAGGAAAAAGCAGTGGCTTGCAGAGAGAGACTTGCAGGCCAAACGGGAACAGGCAAGCTGTCATTATGTTGGCCCAAGATCCCAAAGATTGCTTGAGGGTATCAAAGAGCGCAGATTTCAGCAAATTTTTGACTACCTTGACCAAGACAAGGTTGGGTCAAAATCTTCAACACCCATTGTTACATCAATCTTTGTATTCGACATCATTCTACATCTCCTTCATTTATATCAAGCTTGTTTCATTCCAGGATGGCTTTGTGGAGCTGGAAACTGCAGATTTGAACCAGCTCTCTGATGATGTAGTTGAAGACGTTGCTAGAATAAGAGAGATGGGAGTTGAAAAACTTCTAGACTATCAGTCATTTGTTGATCACATGAAGACCATTCAGGTAAATGAATATTAAAATGGTCGTTCTCTGTTTACTGAAAAACCAAATTTGCTCGTGTACGATGGTAGGAAGAGAAATCGTGAGATCGTGCATAAACCTTCGTCTTGCATAACTGTTTTCACCTCAATATTGCTAGAGACTGTGAAGCAAAGATTTATGAAGCATGGTTTACAGTACATTTGAGGATCAACATGAAATTCCAGCTGAAAAGACTAAACAGTACTAGGAAGTAATGACGTCGAGTTAACTTTGTAGCTATAGGTCCATCAACTGTTTTTAGCAGTGTCGCTGAGGCACTGGTCACTTGGCTGCTGGGTCCTCGACTTATATTACCTTAGCTTGGTTTAAGAATCAGAAACCTCAGTGTTCAATAAGTGCTGCTTCCATTCTACCTTATCGTCCGACATTTTTTTCTCTTAATATTTTTGTACCTTATTGCAGACACAGTTAAGTGTATATCAGAACGTGGATATCTAGGACTCGCTGACTTCGGGTTGGGACTAACGTTTGTCGCTCAGTCAGATTCTTATAAAAACGTTCACATCTGTCTTGGTCGTCTGTTACGGTTTTTTCCTTAGCATTGTACTCGCTCAAAGAGGACTGCAGAAGCATATCACTCGTGGTGCTCAGTCAGCCACATTTCCATGCGAGCATCTCCATATCTCCATGAAGCATTTGAAATCTTTTGCCTGGCTTTCTATGAGACCACGTTCGCATCAACGGACTCAGACGTGGTGTGGTTCGGAATGTCAATGCCATTTATATAACCTGCCTGAAGCCAGACACTTGCTGCTTCTGCATTCCAACTTTGTTTATTTTCTTATATTTCGTTGAACATCCACAGGAAAAAGCAGGTAAAAATGGTACTGTTCACTTGGTTCTCAAACACAAGAAACATGATAGCCCGATGCACATCCAATTCAAGATGGATCGATACTCTCGCGATTTGGCTGTCCGAAGAAGGAGATTCAGGTTGTAGGCTTTCTCTTTCGGCTTAACTTAAAATGTATACTGTCACTATCTCTGTTTCCTGATAAATTGTCAACAGTGCCGTCTAGGTTTGAGACGTTGTTGCGTTATCTGACGTATTTCGATGGGGTTGCAGTTCAAGCCGTCAATGGTACAAGTTGATCCTAGCTGACAGAGCAAAATGGCAGTCTGACTTAGAAGCCTTGCGAAAGGAAAGACAGTCCTTGGAGATGAAAGAATGTACATTCAGACCGGAGATCCAGAAGAAAAGAGGTCACGCGAAGGTATACCCGTTTTTTTCCCGTGAGAGAGGAAAGTTACCAAGCTCCATGATCTTTTCACCCAAATTCTTGAAAGGGAAGACACTACCGGATGGATTGCCAGAAGTAAGGCCACTTCTGAATCTTATCGATAACTGTATGTGCTAGGTCTCCCGTGTGAGTCATGAGAGAATGGGCCCACCAGCGTCTCGTAGTTTCTCCAAAATTCGAGAGAAGGAGCAACGGGAGGTACATGGATTCATCTTTGAAGCAGAAAACAACCAAAAACCTGGTAATAAACGCTTCACTACTCTCAAAGTTAATTTCCTCGTGAAATATTCTAGTAGAAATTGCAGTTCTTGGTCTTTATCGTGAAACTTTATTAATCTTTCTCTTTCCCTGCGTGCCCTTTTACCGGCCATCATAGTCTTCACGAGTGGGTATAGGCATTACTAATAGATGCGATGCATTACTTTTGTCCCTTAAGATTAGATAGGTTGTTAGTTTTTTTTCAACGGAGTTTCAACTCATTCCATGGAAATGTAACAATTGGATCAATCGGCGGCTTGCACATGATAAATGGCTGCAGACAGGCTAGCAAAGGCCGCGAGCAGTGTGTCACATGACACTCATAGCCATGTAGAATCGCAGAGTCATGCTGGTGATATGACCCCTGTGGGCCTACTTGAATCATTAAAATCATTGAAGCAAATTGTGGCACAGTCGGAGAGTACTGAGGGAGGATCACCAAACCTACCTCAAGGGCAAGACATGCAGGAGGTGTACTTTGAAAGCCGACCTTACCCCTGGAGGCCTGCAGTAGAGAGAGTCCAAAGTAGTGTTGTGAACGACTTGCCAGATCCCGAAAAACAAAAGGATGGGCTGTATGTAGGCTTACTGGGAGCATAGGTCTCATTCTTCAGAAGAAGTCCATTCACTATGTTGTGTTAGGTTTATAAAATGAAAATACGGGTGGAGCTTCGCTGCACCCCATATTGAGCAAATATTACGGCCAAGGGTTTTTCATTTTGATGAGTGTTCTACTTTGCTGCATGAAAGGCCTTGAAGAAAGCTCTATTCAGCCAATCGTTAATCCGGATGTTTTTCTCCGAAGGAATTGTCTGATAAATGCAAATTTTTTAAAGAAAGTCATCTCACATGCGAAGTATTTACGACAACATATCTTGACTATAATTATACCTAAGGCAATTCGGAGAGATATGTGTTGTCTCGGGTCTTCACGGTTGTCTACACAATTCCGTGAGTCTCTCCCCCCGATAACTGCTTAAGAACGGTATTGAATGGAGTTTTCTCATGCATTTTGAAAGAATCGTCAACCACAAACCATATTTACTGGCAGTTGTCATAAGCTTGATCAATGTCGTATGATGATAAATAAAAACCGTCTGGGTTGTGTGCGCTGCATCTTCAGCTACTCCCGCAACCAAAGTAAGAAAATTTATTTATTTTTTTACTTCATGATGCCCCCCATTTTGTCTTCAGCACCCGTTTTCGGTTGTGTCAGTTTCTTGAGGCACATTCGGCGTGGAGCTTCACATGCTCTCAAGGGCACTTCATCCCGTGCATTGACCTGCGGTGGAGGCAACCGGGTCTCGATCTCATGATCCACAAAGGGACTACAGAAAGACTTGTAACCGCTCCATGGATACTTACGAATCTGCCTTATAAACTCTTAGCATGAATTTCACATCTCAGCATCTTCATAAGGATGAATACAATTACATTTACGTGGACTATAGACTCAGCGAGTGCGACAATTGCATGGAGAGTGGCATCTTGTGTTTTTATTTCACAAAGCTTCTACTCAATTGCAGCTCAAGTCTGTTTTAGCAAACCTACTCAGACGATCATCGAGTCAATCATTCTTCTGTGATTCGTTTTTTGGTGCCTTCATTCGGTTGCTGAAGACTGTAACACATAATGGAAACTCGTTTTAGACAATCAGAGACGTTTCTGAAGGAGCTGCGGACATACTCGTCAACTATGGCAAGCACCTCTTCATTAAACTTGCCAATTGGTCTCATGATCATAAAACTCGTACCGATATAATCGATGTGCAGAAAGCAGGGATGGTAAGTTGATAGTTGGCGAGCTAGATGCATGCAGAGATACGCTCAAAGTCTGCAGCACTCCCCAAAGATCGAAAATATAGCAAGCAAACCAACGTGCCGACAAGATTTAGTGAAGCTGCGAACATTCAACAGGCCGACACCGTTGGACTCCTCGTGTCTCCATAACTGCACCAATTCTTAGGCAACCCTCGTTCTAGCCGACAAAGCATGCACAAACTTGGAGGCGGAGCAGGGAGTAACTCTTCACAGGCACGAACGGAGAAGAAACTCAGCCATGCCACACGGAGTCCACAGCATGCTCAAAGTGGAAGGTGTTGCCTTTATTTACGGGTTTTATACAGGAAGCTTGAATCAAGGCTGATCGGGATTCACTTTGAGGAAACGCCACCCTGCTCCATAATCTGTACATAAGTCACCGTAGACGGATCCGCATATGTTTTCAGCAGTCGGTAAAAAACACGAAAGGTGCTCTGAGCTGAGCTGCTCGTCAGGAATCACTGAAGCACATCTGAGTACCTGTAAAGTGCCTCCGGGTTCCAGGCTTTCGAGTTTCTCCATTCGTGAAAAGTGACGATGCTATTTATTTAACCCTTCTTCTGAATGGGGTCGTGGAGTGGCAGAATGAAGGCCAGAGGTTGTGCCAGACCCTGACAGCGTACCATCTGTGAAAGGCTCTGCAATACCAGGAAATTATACAGATGACTACGACTTGTACCTGACGGAATTCCACAGTTCTTGCGATATAGCTAGGCAGGCAAAACTCCGGTATTGAAGTAAAGCCCTTCCGTGTCTATCACTCACTTGTGTTGAAGTGAATACCCCTACTGAACCCCAGCCTAGCCTAGGCATTTCGCGTATTACGTGTGCTTCGAGCACGTCAACGGCGAATTTCTATAATGGGCGATAAATTATACTAGAGGTATCGCGGCTTGGGTATTTCTGCCTCTTCGAAACCTTGTGTTCGATGTATGATCCCAAGTGAGAAGGTGCCATGATTGACCGGGAGACTCGTTCCATGACTTCGCGGGCCAAGTTATCGACCCCGAAACTGCCATCAGAATGTCGTCGGCGTAGCGGCACGCGTAGATTCGCACGAATTTAAAGTCCTTGGGATCCGCAGAAGGTATACTTTTTCTTCTGACAATCTTAAGCCGTCTCCTCTTCTCTCGAAGCAGGGCTGTCGGTCCCATCTGCATCACCGTACTGATCAGCTATGGCCAAAACTATCACCAGGAATAGACAAGAAAATCTCTTGTTCACTATGGTTTTAAGTGGAGTGTCTTTGTGTACGCTTGAAGGGCAACAGATTACTTCAAACCTCTATGTTGTGAGAGCCTTGGTCTTGAAGTTCTGAAGCTGTTTTGGTGACTTTTGATGCATGTTAAATTTGATACACTTATTCTCTAATATGCAAGATATGTATGGAGTGAAAATCCTGGTGAAAATATATAGTTAGAAGCAGCTCACGAGTTGTGTGATAGATTAAGGTCAAGCCTTGTTTCCTTTTCTTGTTTTTATTTAGATCTTGTTTTTGAGTTGACTATCATTGTTCCCTTGTCAATGATGCTTAAAATTGACAGTGATGAGAAACATTTGAGAGGAGTTGATTGAGCTATTTTTCATTAAAAATTTTGAAATATGATTATGAGCAACATATTATGAAAATATCCTTTATTTTTTATATAAAGTTTAAAGTAATAAATTATCAAAAAATTAGTCACATTTTAGGGGAAAATACCATTATCTGAAACTAGAATTTTATCAATCACGCACATAAATTATAATAATGTTCATTTGTAAAAAAATCTAACAGAAAAAGCCTAAAGGCTATGTTAAGAGTTATCTATTGATGTAACTCCGGTTACCTTAACCCTAGTTAGTTAAGCTAATTAGAGTTTCACTGTAAAAGAGAGGTCATGGCTGTTATGGGAGTTGAGATTTCTTCGTGTAGCGCGCAGTGTTTCCAATGTCGGCTACGCGTGTGCGTCTGGTCGTGTTTCCTGTTCTTGTAATATCTTATTGGTATGTGTGTCTGTTCGGCGTCTGAGGTACGTCTGGATTTTTCAGATTGGATTTTTTCTGATAATTGATAGTAGAGCGAAGTCAATTCTCGTCACGAGAATCAGCGAGCAGTTGTCAATCGGAGCAAGATTTGTGGTTTGTTGTGGCTCTTTCGCGTCGCGCGCACGCCTCAGCGATCTAATCTTAAAATGTCCCAGTTGCCACAGTCTACTTCGCTCACAATTTTTTTTCCGCGGCCGCGTCGAATCGGACCAAGTCACGGCTCGTCTCGTCAAGATACAAGCATCGCTGAGAGTTGTTATCCTCCTTGCCCCTGGCCTACTTGTGATGGCAGACGTGGATTGGAACATGACGTGTGAATTCTTGTGCCGAAGTAAGGAAGTGGAAAGGTGCGAAGAGGAAGATAGTTCTATCTGAGTAGTTAGTCTCAAGGAGCTGTTTTAAATAGCCTTTGGTTTTTTCGTTGTTGTGTCACTACTGGCCTTCGGTTTCGTTATGAGGTAGGCAGAAAAGCGAGTGATCGTAGATAGATCCTTGGTCATTTTGTTGATTCAAGCAACGCAGTCGAGTTCTGAACACCATGCCTCCGAAGAGATTGCCACCTACTAAGAAGAAGGAAGAATGGCCACCACCACTAAAGTCGAGAAATTGAAGCCAGTTTCAAAGAAATTGAAATCCTCGGGTGATTGTTCTCCGACAGGAAACTTAAAATTTTAATTTCTTGACGGCTAGTGGGATTCAAGAAGTGGCATTTCCTCAAGAACTCTTTGTTTTCAATTAGCCAGCTCGTGATAAGAACCGATTGTGCTATAGCTTCTGTTGAAACGCGACACAAGAAGTACCACTAAGAAGATAGGAAAGAGGATATAGTACGGGTGTATTCCAATCCGGAGGTGTTTACACAGAAAACTAGTGAATCTGTCAGGAGTGCAAGTCGATAGATAGTGAATCGTGGAGGCTTTGATTCCACGGAGATTTTTTCTTGCAGGTTCAAGGCTATAGAATTTTTTTCAAGAGATATGAAGGATTCACAAAGCGGCAATTAGAATATGGCGGAGTTATTATCTCGTGGAGCCTCTTTAGACGTAAGATTCGGGTTGATAGATATTTATGAAGAGTAAATAAGGGATGACTTATTGACATCTGATGCAACAAGGGATGTTGTTCGTGATCTGCGACACAGAATCTGGTTAAATCATAGCAATAGCGAAACTACAAAATTGATGTGGAGCAAAAAAATATCTTCGTTTTCTAACAAGGATGAGTTTTGATCTTCCTTAACGTATATGTGATAATCATGCCATTAGATTTGAGGTGTTATATTCTGGAGTCAATCGTGGTCGTTGTTTTTATGACAATCGTTATACTCTTGGGATAAAAAGTTTCTCATCTAGTCATAGATTTGATTTTCTATTGAGAGTTTGATTTCTATACTTCTTATAATTTTGAGATACTTTTTTTTATTGGTTCATTTGAGCGATTACAGTCTAACTCATGGTTTCAAACCTTGAACTAACCTAGCATTACATGATTTAGGTTTACCTTACATAAATTTATAGATTGAGTATATGAATGAAAGTAAGTAGCATATATCTGAATTTTTGTAAACTATAAATGGTATAGATGATTGATAAGAATGTTATTTAAGAATATTCAAAAAACATAACATTCCATCAATGAATAAAATTTTAATCATCTCAATCTTTTTTGTAATTCATTAGAATAAAAAATATATAACTAAAACTTGAATAATATATTATATTTCATTTATTTTCATTATCAAATTAGAGACTTTTGAATGAACATAACTTTTTTAAAATTTTATAATTTGAATATCCTTAAGCTTGACTTAGTTTTGTAAAAAAAAATATTAGTGTCATTTTTTAAATTAAATATGTTAGAATGAACATGAATGTGCTAAAATTTTATAATTTGAATATCCTTAAGCTTTACTTAGTTTTGTAAACAAATATACTAGTGTCAATTTTAAAAATTTAACAATAGAATGAATTATTTATGAAATTTAACATGCGTATAATATAAAAATCAGATTTTATGCATAGATAAATAGGACCAAAAAGGAAAAAATCTAGAAAATGTTAGGTTGAACTCCAGTTTCAGGTTAACTCTAGTTACTTCTTAACTCGAGTTAGTTGTTTGGGTCAGCCACCACTATACGTACTTGTAGGCAAATGTAATTTCGCCTTTGAAACATCATAATTAACGTGAGTTCCGTGGACGTAACCCAGAGAGTTGGTGAGTCACGTTATGTCTCGCTTGTGATTACTCTGTTTTTATATTATATACAAAATGGTAAAAAATGAAAATTAAGTAGTTAAAATTCACTTATTGCAACTAGAGTAAAAAAAATAAAATATCATCAACGTGACTTCAGATTGAATTTGTTTCATAAACTTTAACAATCAAGTTAGAATGATATATTATTGTTATATCAAGGATAAGATTTTTGAGTGAATGAATTGTGAAAGTTTTTGTTGCATAACTGACATCTACATATTTATTAATGTGTTTGGATACACTTTAATGAAGATATATATACTTTTAATCTGTGTTAATGTGAGAATTGGTAATAAAACACACAGTCAAAGCTTTTAATAAAAAAATGTTTCAACTGAATGCTAGTTTAATATATATTCAAGCATATTATAGATATTTTTTAATATTTTTTATCAAAGATAGATTAAAAAAAAATCAAGTTTTTGTAAAAACATGCTATAATTTCAAAATAAACAAAATTTTTATTTATAGTTTATTTATTGAGGTTAATTTCGGTTAAGAAGTAAACTTATGTTTAGTTATTTAAAGCTACGATTGGTATATGGTGTTGGGTTCATATACCTTAATGCTTTTGCGCTATACACATTTGTCGTGCAATCACCTTGATAGTGAAGACTCTTGCACGTAATCCTATGTGGACGTAGCACTCAGAAGTGTGAAACACATTACGACTATGTGATCTCTGTTTCTCTACTCTTTACATGTCTGTCTATCACTGCATATTTTGGATTGACATTATTATTTATATGGCATGAATTAAACTACTATAACACTCTATATATATTGTATGAGGTGATCAATCAGTTCAATTGAAAAAATCAATCACATATGTAGATGTTTAAATGCTCATGAGTAAATGAATGAATCATGTACACTTAAATTTATTTTACATTCATTCAAAAAATATTAAGCGTATCCATATTTAAATTTTAATATCAAAAAATTAAAAATTTAGATACTTTATGCCTAAAATGATTTTCTAAATGATGATTACAAAAAACATGTTGTAATAGAAATTACATAACTGTTCAAAAATATAAAATAAAATAATAGGAAATTTGATGTGTCTTTTCATTTACAATGTGTAGATAGATTAATAATAATGACAGATCATTCTATATAATCTAGTAATGTAAGAAAGAGACATTTATATAAGTGAATATATGATATGAATTTTAATATTTATTTTGTAGTTTCCAATTTGTTAACCAAAAATTTCAATGTATATGTAAAATATGGATATTTGGATTCTAGATATTATTTTAATAATTAATTTAATATATTCAAATAATCATAAAATAAGGAATATAGGAAAACTTATATTATATATACTTCATTCGTCATGATTTAAGATCTATTTGAGATTTGTATGTATAATGTGTATGTCATACGTGTGTTTTCACACACACATACATATTTGTTAAAATTAACTCTTGTCAATTGTTGGCTGCAATTTTTAAAAAGCTTCTTTAGTGTTCAGTGCTGACTACTAAGGGCGGCAAGACCTAGTTCATGCCACTTCGAATATTGATAGTTTAACTCTCGTGTCTCTATCTATGGAGTATGCAATGATGAACAACGTATTTTTTGCACTAAATTTGTCTTTGTTGTTCTTGACTGATATTATATATAATTCTTAATATCTAAATTTATTTTTAAGAATTCAAATCAATTAATTTTGTTTGCTGAAGAAATTACAGATATACAGATGAAGACATGCACAATTGATAAAAGTTGTTGTTATTATAGATTTTTGATCAGTTTTTTTCATCTTTTGATATTCATAAATGCAAAATCTATTAAAATCTTTGTGTGAATTTCATTTGATGTTCAAAAATATATGAATATAATAAATTTCATTACATAAATAACATGTAGATTTTGTGACATGTATTAAATTCAAATTGGATTTTAGTTTCATGTATAGTGTATGATGAATATTTTACTTTTTTTTTCATTGGATGTAATTCTTAAACCACAAGTGTACCAACCAGTTTGAGGAATATTTTGAAACAATATTATTTGTATATATATGTTTTTCTGAATGTTTTGAAATTATCTGTAGGCTTTTTTTTATCATTTGTGATTGTTTTTTATTTCCTTTGTGTAAATGTGTAAGAGAAAATCTAATTTTTTTTCAAGGGATGATTTGAAAAAATCGTGACTATAAGTTAATTTGTGGAGAATGTAATGATTTTTTTTTACATTTATTTCTTAGTGAATTTTGACTACGTGTGAAACAAAATTTACAAATATTGTGGAAGATAGCGTTTAGTTTTTTTATAAGTACTTAACCTAATTAAATTCGATCATAGAAGTTCCTCATTTATCATGGACAAATATTCCAAAGTTTCATGTGGAGGTGCTCATGACAAATGTTCGTAATCTTTCTTGAAATTGAAGGATGGGGGCCTTGCACTACCCTTATTGCAAGTATCTTCGATAAAAATTTGGATGTACGTTATTACTTATGCTAAAAAATTAAGAGAGGTTACAACTTAGAAGATACAGTTCTAGAGGAACTGGTGGTAAAAATTTTGGGTACCAATAAGGCAATCACTTTGCTCAGTCGAAGAGATTTGTGCACAAATCGAGCTAGACGCTCACGACATTGTTGGGCTTGTTCTCCATCAAGATGCAGAAAGACGAAGAGGCTGACGACACCCTCGAGGAATATTCAGTGGTATTCTCCATGCTTTACGTTGAGGATATGGGTGAAACCCAAGAGACTCTTCGCCACATTCAGCGGGAGTTGCTTGCGGAAGGTTCTCTATGAGCACACTGGTATCTGGCTAAGGTGGTCGCCCTTTTGTCTATGTGCGCTCACTTCGGCTTTCCCCATCCAGACTTTCTTTCTCTCCAGAAAGTTATTTTTTTCCGTAGAGGCTATAAGTAAGAGCTCAGGAGAAATATAATATAACCACAGTAGAACTATGTCAGTTCCTCCATTTTCTTATACTAGGGGTCAAAGCTTATTGCCATATAACTTAGCATAGGTACTACTGTAGGTGGTACTGTCCGTGATATACGATGGGCCGTAACATCAATATTTCATATTTCACTCTGTTCTAGTTCCATTTTATATGTAGTACACCATTTACCCAGAGGAGCTGCCTGCTAGCCTCGGTTTTCCCATTCTACGGTGGTAGCTAGGAGGCTTATGAAATCAGCCAAACAGAGTGCGTAGGGACTTGTGACAATCGCCTAAATTCTTTTCAGTCCTATGCAAAAGAGAGGAATGAGTAATGGCACGTCTCTCTCACGAGATGTGAGAGCTAGAGAAAGGCCACGATACTGCCCCCAAGGCACAGACAGTGCACTTGACAAGCGCATTTCGCTCGACATTTGAAACAAAAAAATACAGTAATATATTAATGGTCGCACCAGCGAACAAGGCAGAATTGCCTTGAAGGCCAGTACAGTGTCCCGCTCGCCGATGCAGTCCAGCATGTTATGGTAGGCGCAATGTACAGAGGTAAGAGAAATGGAAGACGATGTTTGAACTTCGAGGAAAACGTGGTGCAGTAAGGAACTGAATCGATGCTCGTCGAAAGCCCAAGAATATAAAACACGGATTCGAGTCCGTTGAGCTGAATGAAGCAGACACTTAGTTGTCTCGTACAGTAGCCAAGTAGCCGTTGGGTGGAAGACGATGACAATCCACTGTGCAACAGAATGTCCACTCACCCTTAATGTCCGAGTCAAGGAATCAGGGGCCACTGCTGTCTTCTCTTCGGCCTATTAGATCCAAAAGTCCAGTCCGGTCCACTCATCGCCCTTTCCACCCCTGGACTACGTATTTCCAGGACTTACCTCGTCAGAGGACCGCCGGTTAACACAGCATCAAAACCCTGGTCCCAGGAATAGCACGCAGTCAGAAAGTAAGTTGAAAGTTGAAACCGGTCAATCCTATCTTACCTCTTACCACCCACCCTGTCTTGCGGGGACTTGTCTGACATGGAGGGCCGAGCGTGTCAGGGATGGGCTGCTCTGGCTGCGTTGTCTGTCTGTCTGTCTGCCTGCTCGTTCGGTGTGCTGCTGCAGGGCCCCCACCCCCCATCGCAGACGATCATCAGCATGGACAGTACGCTCTGCAAGACTGCAATGCTTGTGTAGTGGATGTATGGATGGAGCGCCGGATGGATCGGCAGCCTGAACGTGCCCGACCCCGAAGCTGGCTCCCTCCCGTCGTCCCTTCGGCATCGGAAAAGATTCAGTGTTTCTCGCGGACAAGGCCGCAGCTTCGTGTCGGGCCTTGGCCGAAGGGGAGGAGGGCCGCCAGACCTCCGAGATGTTGGCGACCGACGTTGGCTCCGGCGTGCGCGTCATTTGAAATGCAAAAACGCAAGTGCTGCCTCGGAGTCCCTCTGTCCTCGTAATAGCGATGATGATGCTGCTCGTGCTTCCGCTGCACTGGGCACAAGATGTGAGCACCAGACGTACAGTAGCACTATCCTTATGCTGAGACCAAAGCTGCTGCTGCTGCGGCGCTGCGGCACACTGGCGTGATGAGGAGTGAGTGCGAGACAACACCGAACTGCTGGTGGGCGAGAAGTGTCGAAGCTGTGTGTTATCGTAGCAACGGAGACGTCGGACTCGCAAGCATCAGTCACTGAGTTCCTCTTTCGGGTCGCAAGGAATGGTTTTGAACGAGAAGAAGCCGAAGGTGAAGGCTGCAATTGGGCCATTGGGCCAGGAGAATCAGATTGATTCAGAGAGACGAAAGATCATGTGTTTAGAATTTGGCTCATCGGCCGTGGGCCGAACGTATGGCGTGGCGTGGCTGGCTTAGGTGAAGCGTGCGAGAGATTTGGACGAAGGAGTTAGAGAACAAGTTCACGAGGGTCGCGGACAATGCTGCTCATAGTCGTCGTGTATTAGAGTCGACTGAACCGAGCTTTCACGGGCTTTACGTGCTGGGATGAAATTTGTATTTGGCCTTGGAAGAGTGCTCCCACGTGTGCTTGAAAGGATTGTTGCGCTTGGAAATTTTTCTGGTGACAGCAGGTGTCACCAGGTATGACAGTCCCCGAGCGACAAATAAAGAACTCATCGTTAGCTGGGACGTAACACATTCTCTCAGAACGAAAGCGTGTAGGTGATGGACGTCGTGATGACATATACCACGTCGAAGTTTTAACAGCTCTAGGAGCATAATTCCTCTGTAGATAACACAGGAAGCGTGAGCCATGGCGGCCCCTGTATCACTCGAGGGTGGGGAAATATGGGGAGACAGAAGGTCCGGTAGCGCAAGCATGTGGTCTCTTGGTGAGACTATTTTTTCTCGGTCTTCCACACTGCGGAGGGAACACGACGACGAGGAAGCTCTGAAGTGGGCTGCGTTGGAGAAACTCCCCACGTACGATCGCTTGAGAACGGCTATACTGAAAAACGTCGGCGAGAATGGCCAAGTCCAGCACGAGGAGATTGATGTGACTAAGTTGGGATATGAAGACCGACAACATATCATTGAGAAAATTTTGAAGATTACAGAAGAAGATAACGAACGTTTTCTGCTGAAACTCCGGGACAGGATCGATAGGTTCGTAAGTTTTCGGCAAACATGTGCCCTGTTCCAAGTGTACACGAGCAATTTCTGTTTTCAGACTATACAAGACTACTACACTCTTGCCATTTCTCTGAACAAGTTAGACTGAAGTGGTTCCTTCAGTCTTCTACTCTTATACCACCTCATGCACGTCAGCTTCTTAACGTGTATCCAGCGCCGAAGCCAAGCGACATTCTTCCGCCGCGCCATTGTCTGCTCAGTCTCAATATGTTTTATAATCTAAAATGCACCGGATTCGATAAATTTTGTTTGACAACTCTCTGATGGATACAATTTCATTCCCGCTTTTGCAATTACAGGGTCGGCATAGATCTGCCAAAAATTGAAGTGCGATTTGAGAATTTGAAAGTCGATGCAGATGTTTTCGTTGGAGGCAGAGCCCTGCCTTCTCTTATCAACTGGACTGTATCTCAGATTGAGGTACGTTCTCGTGTTGCGCAGACATGAGACCATGTACGTTCATCATATGTGTAATTTTAAATTTCTTAAATACATGACTGAGTAACTGAAACATAGCAATAACACATTTTTACCAAATCCGCTTCTATATACTCTGATGCTCGTTCTTTACATCCTCACCTGGAAAAATAAATGAGGTGTCTGGGTCTTGGTTAAAGATGCGTTTAGAGCGCGGAGCGTTCTCTTTCGTGACTCTTGGCTAAACTTTGTGCGATGTTCTCCCCCGATCACCGAGAGTAGATGAATGACGCTGAGATGGTTGTTGAAAAGTCACGGGAAGGATTGAGACTTTTAAAAGATTCGTAAAGTAGTTTTAATTTGACTCCGGTCCCACCACAAGTCTGCATTCGGGCAATCGGTAAGAGATTCTGAAGAGTGAACTATGGAGTACTGACCAGTATGTTTCTGTGCAATTTTTGTGGAAGTCATCTTTTTGCTAAAACAAGAAGTGACGGAATGTTCGAAGAACTCTTCGCACTGATGAATGATTCACCTTCACAAGTTGTGCTTTCTCAATGAATTCATAAGCAAGTTGCAAGTAGTGGATAAGCCGCAGCATGGGAATAGGTCGGCGTCTCACATTCTCTACTGAGCTTCAAATAGAGGAGTTTATGTTTCTCGAATTGAGGCCACCGTCCTTAAGATTCGTTTCTCTTGTCCATGACTGGCTTTCTTGATTACATAGTAGTCTTCCCGTATAGTGCCACTGTTTATAATAAGAATAATGCTTGATTTCTCAGATGTCATATTTAGATCAGAATATGCAGTCTCTCGCCACCATTGGACTCACGTGCATACCACTGTGAGTACAGGAGCCAATGGATTATGACTATATCAACAAACATGTTTGAAACATATGTTTTTGCCTTTTGATTTCCCGAGCTTGCTTGCTAAAGTAGTACTTTTTCATGTGCAGAACATTTTCAGCTTGTGTGGCATTAAAAGGTCTAACAAGAGGGTTCTGAACATCCTCACAGACGTCAGTGGCATAGTCAAGCCCACAAGGTCTTCACTTTCCTCACCCTCCTAAGCGAGTCTTGCTGATACTGTTCCCTGGCATGGAGAGTGATGTGATATTGACTCGTCTATGGTGGTGATTCCCATGACAGGATGACTCTATTGCTAGGACCGCCGAGCTCTGGTAAGACGACATTGCTATTGGCCCTTGCTGGTAAACTTCCGAAGGATCTCCAGGTGAGGGTATATGACTACACGATGGAAAACTGGACCGGTGCAGATGTGCGCTAGCAATAAATTTTTCTACTCAACATATGTGTTTGTGCTGTAAAACTCCACTGGTGGATGAGCTAAGGGGTTGTTCCTGGTTGACACTAGGAAGCTCCGAGAGAACCTTATTGAACGAGATTCCTCACAATTTGAAAAAAATTTTGTTAGAGCTGAAAGAGATCTTGTTAGAATCTTGTTACATCTCATTTTCTTCTCCCTCTTCATCCACTTTACTTCGCCTCCTCCTTCCTGGCCGTCACTCATCATAACAACCGCCGTTCAGCCAGGCAAAGTACTATTAAGTCAAGTTTACGCTGCTGCTAGCGATTCAGATCCAGCCTAACACTTCAATTTGCCTCCTGTTTGAAGTCTCTAATTGCTTAGAATAACTCCTTTAGTCTTGGGCCACCACGTTCAGTCGGATGGTACGTCAGTAAACCCGAGAGCCAATCTTACATATTGACCAAGAAATCTGTCTTATGGGCACGTTAGACCTGACACTTGGGACTTCTATCTCATGAAGCAGGTCTCAGGTCGTGTATCTTACAATGGTCATGCAATGGATGAATTTGTTCCCCAAAGGACATCTGCTTATATAAGTCAACACGATTTGCACATTGGAGAATTGACAGTCAGGGAAACTCTTGATTTCTCCGGACGGTGCCAAGGTGTTGGAACTAGATATGGTGCGTTGCTTTCAATTGGCTGATATGTACATGTGTTTACGTTCTGTCAAGTGGACTCCAAGTATCGAACTAGCTGACCCACATGAGTGTTTGTACTCGATACAGAAATGTTGACAGAGCTGTCCAGGAGAGAAAAAGAGGCTGGCATTAAACCTGAGGCCGACATTGACATCTTTATGAAGGTATTTTGGTGAAGGTTACGTGCTGAAATTTCGGATTCCATAGAAGTTCTACTTCTAATCTCACGTGAATGGAATTTCTTCGTGGATCGTAACAATGCTGTAACATTGGAAAGTTTATTACGGAGTAAGAGTGTTCAGTAACTAGGACATCTCTTGCTGAATAGGATTCGCGTATATGTGGTGGACCTATTCAAGATAACGGACTAATCTCAGTTTGAGTTATTAACAGGCTACTTCGGTGGAGGGGCAAGAGACAAGTCTGGTTACAGACTACACCCTGAAGGTTCGTACTCTTTTCTAATGAGAATTCTTTTCACTTTCTACTTGTCTGAACAGTGTTTGTCTAACAGTATGAACTGTATGCCAGCTCCGTATACAAGCTCCATTCCTTCACTATATGCCCCTCAGACACGTAACCATATTTCATAAGCTTTGTCATTACCTCATTGTTGACAGTCTTGTTCTGCCTGCTCAAGGCGTTTGACCACTTATTAGTTTGTGTTGATGCCCTGCAGCTTCTGGGCCTTGATGTCTGTGCTGATACGCTTGTTGGGGATGACATGCGAAGGGGAGTGTCTGGTGGACAAAAGAAGAGACTGACTACTGGTAAGCACGAACCTGCTATATGTATGATAGACAACATTTTTATGCACCTAAAGAAACATTTTGGTTAAATGTTTCATTTTTGCAGCTGACAGAATTTTTATCCTCATATTCCAGGCGAGATGATGGTGGGACCTGCGAAAGCTCTCTTTATGGATGAGATTTCAACAGGGCTGGACAGCTCAACAACGTATCAGATTGTGAAGTGCTTGCGACAGTTTGTACATGTGATGGACAGTACAATGCTGGTTTCATTGCTGCAGCCTTCACCCGAGACGTATGAACTATTTGATGACATAATCTTACTTTCTGAGGGCCAGATTGTGTACCAAGGGCCTTGCGATTCAGTTCTGGACTTCTTTTCAACCATGGGATTTAAATGCCCCGAGAGGAAAGGTGTGGCAGACTTCTTACAAGAGGTGAGTCTTTTAATTGTGTTTCCGACATCACTTCCTGTTTCATTTCAAGCTTGAATCACTAGTTGTCACCAGTATTGAGTCTCCAAAGAAGAGACTGTTGATCTCAAGTATTTTAGTGTGTTCAAGCAAGCATGTGATTTTTCTTTGTTCCGAATCACCACTCCTCTGCGAGGACACCTTGCCTATGTTCTTGATGCTATGACAGGTCAATCGTAAAGGTGTTTCTCTAAATTGTATAACTTGGCTACGCAGGTGACATCAATGAAAGATCAACAGCAGTACTGGGCAAATAAGGATGAACCATACAGTTATGTTTCTGTTAGCAAGTTTGCGGAGGGATTTAGCAAGTTTCATATTGGCCAGCGCCTCGGAGACGAGTTAGATATACCTTATGACAAAACCAGGAGTCACCCGGCTGCTTTGGTACATGATAAATACGCTCTGAGTGGATGGGAGCTATTGAAGGCTTGCTTTGCTAGGGAGCAAATTCTGATGAGGCGAAATGCATTCGTATACGTCTTCAAAGCAGTGCAGGTTTGTTGTTAATAACCTATCTTTTGAGGCTGTTTGGAGGGCATGAATACTAGTTTTTTTTAAGTTTCGTGTTTGCTTGACCTCCGACCTTCCCATTTCACGTCTTTGACTATCTAACTGTATGCTCAACTGATCCACCTTGGATGAAATTTTTGACGCATGGAGCAGGTTTCAATTGTTGCCACAATCACCATGACAGTTTTCCTTCGAAGTACGATGCATCAACAAAATGTCGGAGACGGGAGCCTTTACCTTGGTGCTCTCTTCTTCTCCCTTCTCAATGCCATGTTTAATGGCTTTGCCGAACTCGCTATGATAATAAGTCGCCTACCGGTGTTCTACAAGCAAAGGGATCTCCTGTTCTATCCACCATGGGCTTTCACTCTGCCGGTTTTCGTAACAAGAATTCCGACCTCTCTTCTGGAGGCAGGAATATGGGTTACTCTGACCTATTTCGTTATTGGGTTTGCTCCCGAGCCTGGCAGGTGAGTCGAAGTCGAGAGTTGTCAAATAGATAAGAAAGTATCTGCAGTCATTGAGTGTTTAAAGCACGTCGTCTTTATTCGTTCACATTAAATACCACGTTCAAACTCCTTGTGATGGCTTTACTAGAAGAGATTTCAATATATCTGTTCAAGACACTGTGACTGGCCTATCAGGCGCATGTCTTGCTTGCAGTTTTCTAGACAGTGATTTACAGCATAGCACCCAGCGCCATTGAGACCTTTGTCACTAGAGTCTGAGGCTTCTTCTTAGCTTTATGAAAACTTAACTTCAGTAGATACTCATGGCTGTTGCATTTAACAAGATTGACAGTGGCGTTGGTGCTATTCTAGATTCTCTATTTTTCCTTCTTTCGTTTTGTGCAATTTGTACAATTGGAAATTCGCGGTGTATGAATTGCAGGTTCATTCGCTTGTTGCTCCTTCTGATCGCTACAAGTCAGATGGCTCTTGGCCTCTTCCGTTTCATAGCTTCTCTCGGTCGAACCATGGTTGTTGCTCAAGTCGGAGGATCGTTTGCGCTTCTGATCGTCTTGATTCTTGGAGGATTTGTTATTGCTAAAGGTAGGAGTTCACACATGAGAAAGTGATTTTCACACATGTGTAAATGTGTTGTTATTGCCCTGTCGGTCCAATTAGATTTAATTTTACATTCATTGATTCTTGTTCGGAAGCTTGCATTAAAATCGTCCAAATCTTTTATGAGTCGAGTTGGCCGTTCAATGCAGACAACATACCTGCATGGTGGATATGGGGTTATTGGATTTCTCCTCTTATGTATGGGCAGCAGGCGCTCAGTGTAAATGAGTTCCTCGCAGAACGATGGAAAAAGGTCAGAAACTGCCGTAATCTCTACAGTGCTGTCTAGTAAACACGAAGTGTTGGAGCTGCTTCTCTTGGTCACATATTACAACCACTCTGCTTGACGCTTATTACCTCTGATCCGCAATGACCTTAGTTATGTTTATCTTCTTTTATTCAGAAAGATGGCAATGTCTTCAAGTACTCTTATGATGTACGCATAAATGTTGTCTTGGTTCACAATTTCTTGTGCGCGAATCCGTTGATGCAAGGCTTTATATAGAGGCTCCATGAGTCTGCCACTGGTTTCAATCGAGCGCACGGTTTATACTCACAGTACCTCGTATCATGTTCACATAGAAAGGTCTTGCTTGACTTTCTTTCATTTATAAAATATATTTGACCCGGTGGATACAAGGCTCTAAATACAATGTGCCCGAGTCTTGCACGGTGTCACTAAGTATATAAATTCATTTCATATTCCTCATTCATATTTCTGCAGCCATACAATGATTCTACATTTGGAGCCACCACTCTGGGAAAGGCAATTCTCAAGTCCCGTGCACTCGAGACAAGAGGCTATTGGTACTGGCTTGGTGTCAGTGTCTTGTTCCTTTATGCTGCCCTGTTCAATATTGCCTTCACATTGGCCTTAAAGTACTTGAATCGTAAGTACCTTCGCCGGGTCCACCGGATCCAAGTATTCTGCTCTGCTATCTGCGATTACTTATTCTTGACCTTCATATGTAATCATTGTTACTTCTTTTACCGTGTAGAATTGAGAGGTCGCTTATGCGACGTACTTTCGTTTCTTCCACAGCTCCTGGCAAAACCAATGCTGTCTTTTCGGAGGAAGCGCTGGAGGAAAAACACGCGAACAGAACAGGAGAAGAACTTCCATCCAGAGGAGGTTCTCAACGTGGCAGTGAAAGGAGTTGGCTTCCGCAGTCTTTATCTCAGCGAAGGAGTTCCTCTTTGAGAGGTATGACTACTTTTCAAAAAAACGCGAATTTCTTGGTTTCAGCCGACAAATTCTTCTCATTGATTTTGTTAAAGCTCTGAGTGTACCGCTTTAGATTCACTACAAAGTACAATCTAAGAGAGGACAGAATAGAAAGAAAAGTATATATCATATGGAGAAACAGCATGAAAGCTGAACTACGACTGATTGAATTTTTGTGCTTCTCTGGTTACAGATGTGGATCTCGTTGGGAGGCGGATAAGTCTCTCATCTGTGTTGTCAGGTTCTGATCATCTGGAAGGTGGAGACGATACGGGTGCAAAAGCCAAGAGAGGAATGGTTCTGCCGTTCCAACCGCTGGCCATAGCCTTCAGCAAGATCAACTACTACGTTGATATGCCCCTGGTATGTACAATACTTCTTTCATCGATCCGCATTTTATCAGAAGTATCAACAGAGTAGCCCTTTATATGTTTGAAACTACCATCGTGGAGTTTTTGATTGAAGGATTTTGTGTACACATCAACTCTTTCGACCTGCGCCATCACAGGGCTGTTGCTTTGCAATTCGCCCTACTTTCTACATAAAACATCTTTGCAAGTACATAAGTTTTTATTGCTTCTTTTTGTGTTATGTGTCGTAGGAAATGAAGCGGCAAGGAATAGTCGACGACAGGCTGCAGTTGCTACGAGAAGTGAGTGGTGCGTTCAGGCCAGGTGTGCTGACGGCCCTAGTTGGTGTGAGTGGGGCAGGGAAAACAACTCTCATGGATGTGCTGGCTGGTAGGAAAACCGGTGGTTACATCGAGGGGAGCATCAGCATATCTGGTTATCCCAAAAAGCAAGCTACTTTTGCTCGTATTGCTGGCTACTGTGAGCAAAATGATATACATTCACCTAATGTAACTGTGCATGAGTCGATAACTTACTCAGCCTGGCTAAGACTCTCGGCAGACATTGACTCTAGCAGTCGAATGGTAAGTTGATGACACATATATCGATGACCTGTGTTTTCTGTCGCCGCTGGGCAGCAAAGAGGCTGGTACTCTGAATGACTGACTGGCCCGTTTGTGCAGATGTTTGTGGATGAGGTGATGGAGCTTGTGGAGTTAACTCCTTTAAGAGATTCTCTAGTAGGTCTTCCTGGACAGACAGGTCTGTCGACCGAACAAAGGAAACGATTAACCATAGCTGTGGAATTGGTGGCTAACCCATCCATAATTTTCATGGATGAACCAACTTCTGGTTTAGATGCACGGGCTGCTGCCATAGTGATGAGAGCCGTTCGAAATACAGTTGATACTGGGCGAACTGTGGTCTGTACGATCCATCAACCCAGCATTGACATCTTTGAATCTTTTGATGAGGTAATCTTTTGTAACTTGTAGTGTGAGTCTGTCAATTTAGTTTCAAAATATTGATTCTGCCATCATATGGTACTTCAGACGTCCTTCAGATGTTCAGGTGACTTTTTTTCATCGTGCTTGTCAGTGTACTAGATCTATTTGGCGTTTCATTGTATTTCCCATGAGCGCGAACTAGCATGGTTCATGTCGGAAGAGTGGATGTTGAAGCTCTAACACAAGATCCAATTCTGTTTTGTTCAGCTCCTGCTCATGAAACGGGGAGGACAAGTTATATATGCTGGCCCTTTGGGACATCAATCTTCAAAGCTAGTCGAGCATTTTGAGGTACATTGAGCACCAGCTTCGATTATTATGATGATTTTATGCTATATTGGAGTCCTAAACGACATGGATTGGCACAAGTGAGTGACCACATTGTAATGCTTCTTAGACCTTTCGTCAAGAGAGGATAATGAGAGGCTGTATGTCTACGCTTTTAAAGCCTCTTACAATAATTTTGTTGCACGTACTGTTGAACACTATATAGCCTCTTATAAAATTTCCCGCGTGCGTGTTACAGGCTGTTCAAGGTGTGCCAAAAATCAAAGAAGGATACAATGCAGCTACCTGGATGCTGGAAATTACCTCAATCGCAGCTGAAGCTCACCTTGGCATAGACTTCGCCGTTATCTATCAAAATTCAGCTCTTTTCCAGTATGTTCCTAATTCGCTTCATCATATATAATTTTTCGTTTTGATCTCAAAAGTTCAATCGTTTCTGATGCATGTGTCCTTCGGGCTGATTATGAATAATCTCTAAGATGGTGCGAAAAGCTTACGTTTCAATCATTGTGTGTTATACAGGCGTAATGAGGCCCTCATCAAGGAGTTGAGCTCTCCTGCTCCTGGAGCGAAGGATCTTGTGTTTCCGACTGCATATGCACAGCCATACAGTGTGCAGTGCATTGCTTGCTTATGGAAGTTGCATTTATCTTACTGGCGAAATCCCCTGTACAATGCAGTACGCTTCTTCTTCACGACTATATGTGCTTTCATATTCGGTTCCATCTTCTGGGGACTTGGTGGAAAAAGGTTTCTATTCCACATCCTTGGGATCCATCGTGAAAACTGTATAAAATTGTGTGGTTAAAAGTGCAATAGAATAGAATGCAATGAATCTCTCCTTTGATTGTTCTGTAGTCAGCCTACAATTATTTGTCTAGAGTGGGTTTAGACTGAAGAGCACACGGTCATCTAGCGGAAGAGGGTCGATCACCGTGAACAGCAGGTTAACATAATGTTCTCATTCACCAAATCGTCGCTACAAGCGACGACGTGGCGCTAATAGCTCCTTTACATGTTGTACGAGGAGCTCCTAATAGCGAATGTTCCCATCTATGTGTTGTTAGTATGAGATATTATCTTCGTGAAATAAAAACAGGTATAGAGCGCATTAGATTTATTTCGTGGAACGTGAAAGTAACAGATTTGTATACATTTGGATTGCAACAAATTTAGCACTAAAAGCAAAGAAGATATATTCATTGGGGACATATAAGTTTTCGAAAAATCCATAAATATGATGAATGTTCCCGTTTCTATATACTTTCCATTGGAAGAAGATTGAAAAGTTAAATCAAATTGAAATTTCTAAAAATCTAGTATATATATATATATATATATATATATATATGTTCATTATTTATTGCGAGGACACACGAGCCGAATTGATTTACGGGCGATGGCGTAGAAATTTACTCCCAAGGCTCGTAGAGTTTGAGTCATAACCTGTAACCTTCTTTCCCCTTTACCTGGTCACCGTGTGTTCTGCAATCGAATCTTCAATAGGATCTCGTTGCATACTAATCTGTTGAAAATTTGTCTTAACTATGCCTGGATTGTACTGATTCAGGGCCAGGTATCAAGACCTTCTGAATCTTATGGGGTCAATGTATGCATCAGTTCTCTTCCTCGGAGTGAGTAACTCATCTTCCGTGCAGCCTGTTGTGGGGATCGAGCGCACTGTATTTTACAGGGAGCGAGCAGCTGGGATGTATGCGCCGTTGCCATACGCTTTTGCTCAGGTACAAGGATACTCTTTGTCAAACTTATCATTTGCGTCTGTCACGTATACGTCCAGCAATTTGTTGTCACTATCTATAAATATGATGAGGGTTCTAGGACATTAATTAATAGATGAAAGAACCTAATACTAATACCAAAGGCCAGCCCGGTTAAACTCTGTCGGCTGACGTGTGAGTAGTTTAAGATGAACAATCTAGAGAGTTTGACTAGAATTGATGGAAGTTTACGTCGAAAGTTAAGCGGACGGTTGATGAGAGGAATTCGATTCTGCCCTGTGGATGCAGTTTTTCGTTGAATGGCCTTACGTACTGGTTCAGTCACTTTGGTATGCAACCCTCGTGTACTCCACAATACAACTTGAATGGAGTGGTGCCAAATTTTTCTGGTATATCTACTTCATGTTCTTCACGCTTCTCTACTTCACCTACTGGGGTATGATGACGGTCGCTGTGACCCCTAACGGTCAGTTTGCAGCCATCATATCATCAGCCTTCTACGGTCTCTGGAATCTCTTCTCTGGCTTTTTAATCACGAGACAGGTACGGCAGATGGAGCGCAGTCTCATGTTTTATAACGCAGTTTGTTCTTGATCTTTGTTTTTTTTTGTTTTTTGTTGTTTTAAAACTCTGATCTTGGAATGTGGATGCCACATGAATGTATGCTGGCATTGCATGTGCGTACCTCCCGGGAGTCTATCAGAAAATAAAGATGTACCCACTGCAGACGTTCGTACTAATGTTCAAGTTCTGTTGGTCAACCGCAGGAAATACCCGCTTGGTGGAAGTGGTATTACTGGTTAGATCCAGTATCATGGTCGCTTTATGGTCTACTAGATTCTCAGCTGGGTGATGTGGTCGACAAAATCAAACTCCCTGATGGCGGCAGAACAACGATAAAGAAGTACCTTGAAACACATTTCGGTTTCCACCATAATTTTCTAGTTTGGGTTGCTGTCGTGCATCTGTGTCTCGTAGTTATGTTTGGATGTGTATTCGCCATATGCATCAAATATTTGAACTTCCAGAGGAGGTGACCATTGTTGACAATAGATGGCTGACTCAAAGACTTCCAAAGATGGTGACTTTCTTTAGTATCATATGCCACGTCCAGCGTTTCAGTTAATCAGTTCCTCTCTGTCTACCTTAGGTAACAGCTTTTGAGCGTAATATGGGTATAGAGTTTTAGGGATGTATTTAGAATTTATATGAGCCCAGTTTAGGATTTGCGTGGATAGTCTGAGATGCTGGACAAAAGAATCCCGTCTGCCTGTATATTACGAAAGACTGTATTTTCCTATCAAGCAGTCTTCCCAGACATCTGCTTTCATGAAGGGCTTCTTGAGCGGCTTGATATTGACAGCTGACTTGGAAGGCAGTTCAAGATCTTCGGGACATAAAAGTGCAACTGGCGATCTTTAAACTCTGTGCGAAGTGTTTTACAAGGTGTAATCCCGACACTGAAAGGCCTCCCAAAACCAGAGCGTATCTCTACTCGAATGTATCTGACATTTGTTTTGGAATAAAGTGATGTCATGTACTTTGTCCTAGAGTAAAAGTAGCTTTATATCATCACGATGGTATTTAACACTGGCGGAATACGTGCCATTAAGCTATGTGCATGTGCTACAAACCTTGATTGTGCTGTTGCACTTGATGAAGGATTCAGCTCCTCTCGCACCATTTTGCGTATTTGCCCACGTTTGCTAAATGATCTGCTTAGTTCATCTCTATCTTTCGATTAGCAGTGGGCCATCGCAGTCGTGAGTTACAGTAACTCACGAAAATAACGTGAGCCAGAACTAAGGTATTCTTTGAGTCGATTTTGTTAAAACACTTGAGAAATGTTGTGAGAGAAAGATGCCACCTGAACGTGTTGTAGGGTGGCCACTAGGCCTGCCAATGTTCACAAGTTTTGTCCATATCGAACGTCCATACATAAACGAGAGCATGAACGTAGTCTTGACAGTAGAAAAAATTGTGTAAGTTTGAATTTAGCCTTCATTCATCAAACAAATTCTGAGAGCTTTATGAAGTCACAATTATATAGGGATAGTTTATTGTCATACGCGAGATTTATTGTTGACAGGTGAATGACATATAATAGATGACAACTATTGCATTTTCTGCTCATGACATAATCTGAAACCTCTGCTATCTTTGTTATTCGAATGTATGAGGTAATGTGGTAATGTATTCTTTTGTCTTGAATTATAAAATCTCTTATCCATGCACCCTTCATATAAAAAGCAAAGTAGAGATTGATTATATTGGAGCTTTACAATCTAGCAGGATGAAACAATATTTTTAACAAACATTACAGTAATATGAGTGAATACAATTTCTTCCTTCTATTATGATATTTATCTTAATAGAAGAATGATTAAAATCTTAATTTCGGTTCAATCATGACTTGGAGCTTATTTTGATCACTCTGAAAGGTAACAAGTATATAGAGAGATTAAGAACCTAGAAAAACTTGTAGTACGACAATGAAGTTCTACCATAAAGTGAACGGTTCATTGAATAAAAAGTCAACTTACAGTTAGGAGAAAAAAGAGAGATATTTTGGGGCAAATATATAGGATTCAAATTCGAGAGAATACGATTTTTCAATCAAAACCTTTTTGTGGCGCAATCCTCCGGGGAACGCAATGTTCGAATAGTTGAATATATCATAGTCAAGAAACTTCTTGGTAACAAGAAACAACCTCTGCCTTTCGCACAAATGACCATCCTGATTCAGGGTGAGATGTGCAAATTTAGTCAAAACCTTTCATGGCTTTTGACTCCAAGACAAGCCATTCTACTTAGGTAAATACACCATGAAGACTAGACTCTAGACGAGAACGTCTAGAGTGACATCTTAACTAGTAAACAAAAAGAGAGGAGTGGTGCTAAGGATCACATTATCGGATAATGTGATATGGATAATAATTATACAGCCCATCCTGCTGGACAATCAACATTGAAGAGAGACACGTAGATGCACCTCATGAATAATCTGATGATCTTCTGGCGAATTGATTCCTCATGTCATATTGTCAAACTGACTTGTAAGAATAATCATTGCTCACGTGAGATTGTCCCACTACCATTGATGCAATAATGTTTTGGATGTCTCCATTCATATATGTGAGATAGTGAATAATCATGAGAGAAAGTGTTGATATGTACTTTGAGTAGAGAAGTATTGAAATTAATCTTTGTATATTCAGCTTACATGTTTTTTATTGATTATTTGATGATAGTTCATTCTAAATCTTTAAAATGATGAAAATCCATATTTTTGTATAAGCAGAAAATGAAACAACAATAGAGAGTTGAAATTAAAAACTTTGCATGTAAATCTTTCTTCTAGCAAATGATTTTTAAAATCATATTGCACAACAACTTTGATATTTTTTGTGAAAAGTATGTGAAAACATATGGTGCAGTATTATGTGGTGTATATTATGAGCTAAAAAAGTGTTATTAAAGTCACACAATATAGCATATCGTGTAGTCTAGATTAGTCAATTGAGTTCAATATTGTAGAAATATATCACCTAATGCTATACAAAGTTTATCAATCACATCTACAACTTTTATAATTATAACTATTTGACCAAATGCAAAGAAATTTTTACATTCTTAAGAAAAAGTCAAAAACTTTTGATAATTGATTGTATATTTGAATTCATGAATTTAAGAGATCTGTACAAACAGTTGTGCAAATTGAGATAAAACATATGGTTTATTACTTTAGGCTAGATCCACGACAAACATCATTGAGATTAGATCCTAAGTATATTGCCAAGAGATATGATTTGATCTCTTATATAATGATAGATTTAGGTAGCGGCTAGTTATCACTTTGATGATTATCACTTGGTGCTAATCATACCTCATCCTACGAGATACGTCGGAGATGATTGGAAAAATTGTTGCGATTGTCCCTAAGTATGTTTATGCGGCATGAGCTTCTTGCGATCAGCAGGCTCGGCAGTTGCAACAGTGTTGCCTGCTCCTCTTCTTCTTGACTTTGCCGTATGATTTCTACAATGCGACTCACTAAACTCCAAAACCTCTTAAGGTTCCAACCCAAGGCAGCGATTATACACACCAGATAGTGTGAAGGATAATTAACCAAGCAATGTGAGGGATAATTAGCCAAGCCAGACTATCCCGTGCGATCTCTTCCATCCTAACGCCTGAAAATCATTGGCTTTGGGCCTAAGGGCCCAAAGCATAAGCCATCTTAATCTTCACTTCTTTGTTATAACATTTTAGTTTCAATCACAAATTTTGTTATTTTGTCTACTAAGAAGAATTCATGTGCTTTAAGTGAAGCTATGATTTCATTGATGAAAGTAAAAAATAATTTAATTGATGTCTAAAACATTACATGCTAATATTATTGATAATTTTTTAAAAGAATTTGTTTCAATAGTATATAAGTTATTAGAAATCATACACAAACACGTTCACAAACACTATCTCCTTTGTGTTAAATATTCCGAACAAACATTAATTTCTTTGTGTTAAACATGCCAAACTAATGAATTTTGTTAGAATAACCCAAGTTGGAATGGTGCGTTCTTGATGGTGAATACTATGAATCTAGTCACTTAGATTAGATTTTATGTTGGACAACTTAGCGCGACAAGTTTACTTGCAGCACTCAACATATAATTTTTTATTCCCATTAACGTAGCCTAGGAGGTAGAATGAAGTTATCTATGTATCTGTGTGTGTTGTCTGTCTTCTCCGCTTGTATTTTAAGTTAGGTTTCATAAAAAAATTGATATCAACAGATTTATTTGAATGTCGTTTGCCACTGTTTTTGTCTCGCTTCTAGCTCTTGCATCAAATATCAGACATCATCGTCTACTAATGACAAATAAATTAGTGATCGATTGAAGGGTGAAAATGATCCATCTGTAATAGTACTTGGGAGGCGACGACTTGTAGTAATACAGTCTAGAGTTTGACACTTGGCAAGCTACTTCTTGCTGCACCTTTTGTTTTCCAAATTTACTAAGAACTGGAACTTTGATTTCGCAGCGTTGCATCGATGAGAGGTAAATTGTTTGCACAGTAGTGCGCAACAAAGCAAATGTTACTTTGTGTACGGTGCCAATTATCGTAGTTGTAAGTCTTTTTTATGAACATGCCATAAGTAATGCCAAAATGAGTAGTTAGCTAGCATTTCTTGGCCAAGTACACAATATTTTTGTGCTATTGATATATGTACCGCAAACAACACTAACGAGTGTCATTGAATTCAGACACAAGGCCAAGAAGTGCAAACCTGAATCCTCAAGGTTGAGGTTTTGTCATTTTCACTGACAAAATCCAACGCAACTCCTCCACTTTCACAATCTAGATTTGCAGATTTAGATTTTAGTCCTCGTCTATGTACTTTTGATTACATGTAAATTTGATCCTAAATCAAAAAAGCAAGTTGTTGTTTTGATGTGAAGAATTTTTCACCTAAATTTGATGTGGATCTTTGTTGCAATTAATTTGCAAAGATTTTAGGAGTCAAGTACAATGGTGATTTTTGTTATGCATTTTTAAAAATTGGTTGGCTCAAAAACTATCACGTATCACAATCTCAATCTTGAAAATCTTAACACATTCCCATTGAATATTTGCATCAGAAACACAAGCATAGTAATTTGATGGCAAAAAATTCATCGCTGGAGACGTGATAACTTTAACTTCCAACCCTTTTGAAATCATGTGTGTAAGGAGACCATACTAGAAGCAATTAGCAAAAAAAAACCGAACGCGAGCTCGATGTCGAGTTGGACGAGAAGCAGTGCTGTGAGACCGATTGTTATAAGTGTGTTATAGTATTAGAAATAGGCTAAGAGTGGATTATGATTAGCCTAAATATAGTTAAATTTAGCTAGTTATGATTAAATCTAGCTAGTTATAACTAAGTTCATTTAGCTAGGATTAAATTTGGCTATAGTATCTATACTTGGCAAAATAATTAGAGTAGTTGTGAAAGATTGTAGTGAGCACTTCTATTTTGTATTTTACAAAAATCTAGATTACAAGACAAAAGACCTTTGACTACAAGATAAGATTTGATTAGCTTGACTTAGTGTATGAAATATCATTGGTTGCATTAAGATCAATGTTGACTTAGAGACAATGTAAGCTTCTAGAAGTTTGAAAGATTTCAATGACATATCGCCACCTCAACCTCGGGATTTAAAAGATTCTAGAAAGTTTAGATAAATCAATGACAAGGGTTTAGAGTTTAGTTTAGGGTGAATGACAAGTTGCCATGTATGAAGAGTTAGTCAAACCTACCAATGTTTATCAAAGTGAAAGTAAGTTGGGAGATAATTACCACATGTTACTATGATAATTTTCAAGTAGTATAAGTAGAAAGTTAGAGTAGAGACTCTCAAGCCAGTTTAGAGGATTCATGTGTAGAGACTTGTTTCATATATGAAAGAGTGAGGTTTTTTAGCATCTTGGAGTGTCGATGGGTGTGTGAATTTGAGTGATGATTTGAGGTAATGTGTAAAGCCTGTCTGGGTTATGAGAACCAT